AAAAGATCGACGAAGATGGTCTCATGGCGCCCCTCCAAGTCATTCAGACGCTTTCTACCAACGGCGTCGCAACAATGGGCATGATAAAAGCCTACCTCAGCACAACAATCGAACGCGAGCGCGCCGAAATCGCAGCCAACCGCCGCAACATCGAGACCTTCCGCTCCGACACGTCCGCCAAAAAAGCAGAACTAGAGGCTCTCAACACCAAACCTGCTGTCTTCCAGAATTCGCGCTGCCAGGTCTGCATGAAGAGCTTGGAGTTACCTGTTGTGCACTTCTTGTGCAAACATAGCTACCACCAGAGTTGTCTGAGCACAGATGAGGATGTGCATGATGCAGAGGTTGAATGTCCGATTTGCAGTTCGAATAATGCCACCATCAAAGCGATTAGGCGTGCGCAGGTCGAGAGTGCGGAACGGCATGATTTGTTTCAGGATGCGCTTAAGAGGGGCAGGGATGGGTTTGCGGTTATTAGTGAGTGGTTTGGTAGAGGTGTCATGGGGGTGGGGAGTTCAGAGTAAAGAATGCTTTTGGCGCACGCGTTGTATGTGGTATAATGGATGAGCGAGGCTCAAGATGCACAGGTTTTATACAAATGAAACATAGTCGATTGTCAGCATGTCTATAACTTCCAAACATTTGCCATACGATGCTTGATTTCGAGTCCAAGCAAATCGAATCCACCCTTGCTGAACGCCAGTGATGCAACACATATCCCCCGCGCACACATCTATATACATTACTTCGTGTAAACATCCGGAAACAACACATGCAGAATCTCATCTAGTAGCGTAAAAACAAGATGGGTACTACAAACACAGCATTAGCATACTTTCTTCGTCCAAACCATCCCGCATCGTAAAAAGAGAAAGGGAAAAGAAAACTTACTTCAACCTCCCATTATTAACCGTCCCCTCCAACTTCTTCGCCGCCAACTGCGCATTCTGTCTCCCAACAACACTACTCGCCAACTCAGGTATAAGCGTACTCAGCACATCACTCGCCGCCTTCCTACTCCTCTCCTTATCCTGCGTCGTCCGCTCCACACCCGCTTTCATGCGGCCATCGGGCCACATGCTATCTTTGAGCGCATCAATGTACTGAGCGATGTTCATTTCGGAAAGGAGGTTACCAAAGGACTCGCGGACCTTGCGTTCGATGGTGCCGCCGAGGAGCTGGTGCAGGACGACGACCACGGCGCGGCCGCGGAGCCAGTTGTTTTCACGGTTGAGTTCAAAGGTTTCGAGGAAGAGGTCGCAGATTGGTTTGACGAAGGGTTCGAGTTCTTTGTTTTCGAAGGCGAGGAGCTCGGCTTCGGCTTCGGCGTCCGTGTTGGGCTCGCCGGCTACGAGGACGCCGGAGGAGGCGAGGCTGGCGGGTTGGGCGGTCGCGCCGTTTGTGTGTGCGAGCTGGGTGGTGGCAGCGGAGATGAGGTTTTGACCCGCTACAGAGAGCTGGTCGAGGACGGGAATGTTGCCGAGGAATTCTTCCATGCCGTCTGCGACTGAGTTGTAGATGCGGGTCACAAAATCATTCGAGTTTGGATCTTGATTCTTGAGTGCGTCGGCAGGACTGATCGCAGCTTGAGAGAGGAATGCTCGAAATTCACGGCTGCGGCATACCGCTGGGATAAGCAGGAGCTCTCGTAGGTACTTTTCCAGACCGACCCGCCGTTTGTGCAAAGAGTCCTTTTGAAGCTTGAGTATCATCTGGCGGCGTGGAAACTCTAGGTTCCGAACTTGAGGAAACTTTGCACGAAGCCTTTTGTTCAGTTCGTGGAACTCGCTGTACCGGCGCGAGACGACCCAAGTTGCTGCAGGCATTTGGTCACCTGCGCGTCGTCGGACTTCAATAACGTACATGGCATAATCCTTGCCGTCCTCTTCTGTGCCCACCATGATTGACTGTATGAACACGTTTGCACGCCCGTACAAACTGTTGTCACTCTCCTGCACAATGTACTGCTGCCGTTGAAGTTCTTTTCGTTGGATCTCTCGCTGTAAGCTAGTCTTGGACTTGCGCAAGATTCTAAGCTCAGCAGCATTGTTGGTCAACTCAGCCTTTGATGTTAGCGAATCCACAATAGACTCTTGTGTTACCAAACGCTCAATATCGGCTGTAAGAGCATCGATCGCCTCCGCTAAGCCCAGATCTCCCGGCGCAGCTTCGTGTATCTCTTCGTCTTCCGCCTTTTCGCTTGATACTGGATCATCGACTTCGTCTTCCAAGAATTTCTGCTCGTCGCCAAACAAATCGTCATTAAATACGCCACGAGTCCTGGGCTCCCCAACTAGACCGAGTGATGCTATGCTCGGCTTCAGACTCTCTTTTCCTTGCGGATTAGGTGATAACGCCCGAGGTAGATCAAGAGAGCCGCGCATTGAGTCATTATCCACGGGTGATTTTAAACCTGGCTCATAGAAAATGGAACCCTCTGGCTCATCCATGATGTCAGTCAGAGCAGCCTGCATGGCATCCACCACTCTTGCATCATTTCCACCAGTTCGATCATAGCCAAAGTCAGAATTTAAGCTCGCGGTGGAGTGTGCAAGGGGATCGGAGTCGTAGTCATCGCCAAACAGAGGTGCTCGCTTAGACGTAGATGGCGCTACATCCAAGGAGCGTCGTGCAGGTGGCTCGATGACATTGGTTGATGCTTGACTTTTCAGATCTGAAGAGGATGCAACTGCCCGACGCAGATCTCCTTGTGGTGCATACAACGAACTATTTTGTCTTGAATGCGTACGGGACACGGCGGGTGTCACTGGAGGTGGGGCCTCGAGAGGTTGTGTTATGGCCCTCGCCTTTCCAGTACTGTTGTCGGTATTTGCTGCTTCATCCATAGCCAGCCACTTGTAGTATAGATTTGACTTCTTGAATCGTCGAAAGTAAGGCTCTTGTAGCTGTTCATATGCGGCCGTTTGCGCTTGCAATAAGGAACGCCGTGCATTGTGATACTGTTGGGGCGTCGCTTTCCGCCCAGCTTTGAGAAATTCTGCAACCGCTCGGCGGGCTTCCGGGAGAATCTTCAGTTCAGGCTTGGACAAGTATGCCTCGTGGATCTGCGCTAGATCTGCGCGATCCGACTCCGTCCACGTAGGGAGAGTGCCAACGTAGTCCTGACTTTCCTCAGTCTCTACTTCTAACGGGTTACGGAACCCATCTACAACAATCCAGAACTGCACTAGTCGCATGAGGTCCGCCTGATCCATGAATTCCATGAAGCACGAAAGCCCTGATGCATCATAAAGCACTTCGCGCAAAGATGCATTAGCGAACTTAGACGATGAACGCTTGTGCTTTGGGGCTTCCTGGGCTATGACTTTGGCACGAACCGATCCACCAGCGCTAAGTGTCGCAACCTTGGTATCGAGCACATGACGTGCGGACTCAAGACGACGCAAATAGACAGAGTCTTGGCCTTCAATCATCGAATCTTTACGTAGCTGGCTTGCGATCTCACTGCGAAAACGCCTAGCATCTGCAAGCGTGTTTGTTTGCTGTATTGCTCGCATGAACCTTTCGAATTTCCGTTCATTGTCGCTGGGCATGAGTTTAGGGAACTGCGTGTTCTTGTTTGTCTTCTGTGTAGGCGGGGCGTGTTCGTCGAGGGCAGCTCGTACTTTGCGTACCGTCTTTCTTTCTTGCAGCAAAGATCGGCCCTAGAGTTATTAGCATGTTTAATGCTGGATGAGAGGTGACCTTACATAACCCTCCATGAGCTGATTCCATGTATCGGGGTCAGCAAGCATGTGCATCACAGGTGACAGGACTGCACAAGCCACAATCTCTTTGATAAGTACATTGACAGCCGGACTTGTGGACATATTGGCAGGCATGATCTTTGGTAGGAGTCGCGTGACTATGCTCCTTAAGTGCTGCTGCTGTATTGGTTTGGTGTTTGAGTATGCCAAAGACGCAGCAGGATGCAACCGACCCTCTTTGTATTTGGCTGCGATAGCAAGATCAAGCTCCTCTGAATCTGTAATATTGCGCGACAACTTGCGCCCGCGCACCACGCGCTCGGCCTCGTACGACGCTTTCAGGTGGTCGGTGATGAGAGGAATCATGCGCGACACGACCATCTCGACCATATCTACTGCCAGTATGCGTTCCCGTATCTCGCCCATGGCTGCACGCACTGCCTTGTCGACCTCGTGTACGAATGTCGGGCTCTTGCTGATACTCCCATACCAGCTTTTTACGAAATCGCGCAGTATCAGGCCGATCAGGACATCGAGGCTGTCTGATATCATATAGGACGCGGGGTATAGCGGTTCCATCATGTACATGTTCCTCTTGTCCAGCGCCTCCCTCTCAGCCTTCCACTTGTCCGGCGCAGCAAAGGCAACATGGCGCGGCCCATAGTCGACATTTCCGCCGTGTCGTAGGTCCCTGTCCCAGGCGGTGGTGAAGGTGAGCCATGCCAGCAGTGCGAGCGTCACAAGTGCTCCGGTGACGAAGGCGTAGGGGAGGTAGTGCAGCTTGGGCTGCCAGTGGGTCAGATAGCCCCAGGCGACGAATATTGCGACGGCAGCAAGAATAAAGTCTCTGCGCTTCACAGTGGCCATACTCGTGCTGGCGGCGCCCGGTTCGGCATCTTGGGTGCGGTGACCGAAGATACGGGAGGCTTGGTGTTCTGGACAGCCCACTTCGGAGCTTAGGCCACTGACGTCGATCCGGCGTATACCGTATTCGGCCGTTATACCAGACTTGACACCTCAAGTTTTCTAATGGTTTTTTGGTCAGTATGTCTCGCTGAAGTATTGATTAGTCAGTGGGAAACAACTAACTACTCTGTGTCCACCATCATATCTTCTACTTTGGCACAAGGTAGCTGTGTATGTTGTTTCGTCAAAGCGATCATGAAGTATACAACTTTGGATGGAAAGGGTTTTACAGGATGAAGTTTCCTCATTCATGCATTGATTGCTTTTTCTAAGTAGTCAATACATACCTACACTCTGCACGGTGAGATTTATCACGTGCTCGAAGCATTATGTCAGCGTCTGAAGCTAGTTAATAGCAGGAGCTACAAAGGAGGTGTTGTGCTATCTTGAATGAGACAAAGAAAATAACATACACTTTACATGTGTTTGAAACGACTATGTTGATTGCTGACAAGTAAAAAGGGGGAAGCAGGACAACGCGTAAGACCGAACAACCCAACTGGGAGCAATTTTGAAAAAAGCTTGGCCGATACTGTTCAAAAACGGAGAAGGAATCACAGCATACAAAAGATGATAGTTCTGGAAATAAGTAGAAGGACATGAAGATATGCGTAGACATTAAGTGGTATCTGAATTATTCACTTTTTCTTATTCGGTGATATACAAACGAAGCAAACCCAAGCTACATCCCATCGTCGTACCATGACACCTTCATTACCATTTCCATCCGTAGCCATAGCCATAGCCCGATTTCATATCAAAATGTCAACAGAGAGAGAAGACACGCTAGTAATAGTTTACAAAGCGAGCATTGCAAGGGCGGCGGCGCCAATGATACCGACGGCCTGGGTGGCCTGGGCAGCAGCACCAGTGAACTCAGAGACGGTAGAAGTGGAAGAAGTCAAAGCGCCAGAGGCAGAGTGAGTGCCAGAGGGTGTCATGGAGGGTGTCATAGACGGAGCCATAGAGGGAGTGCCGGTAGAGATGGGGGTGGGCATGGGCACAGGAGTGCCGGATGCCATGATGGATGAGATGACCGAGGAGGCGGCTGAGGCAATTGCAGAAGCTGCGGACGATTGCGCTGGAGCGGCAGAGGCAGAGGCGGCAGGAGCGCTGCTCTGAGCAGGGGCACCGGTGTCGGGGATGGTGATGGGAACACCAGCAGCCTTGCAGGTGGACTCGACAGCAGCAATAGCCTTGGCCTGGTCGGCAGCCTCGCAGCCCTTCTGCACACAGGGCTGGACCTGGGCAAGGAGCGTGTCACCCTTCTTGCAGTGGCAGGCAAAGTCGGTAAGGTTCTCGCAGCCGTCACTTGTGAGGGGACCGATGAAGCAGGAAAGCTGAGTATTGTGAGTAGGCGTACGTTGAATGGAACGTTGCATAGTATAAACATACAGCGCATTGAGGGATGTTGTCGAGCTGAGCACTGGCGACAGAGGCCAAGGCGACGATGGTGGCGATGGTGAAGGTCTTCATTTTGGCGGTTGTTTGAAGTTGAAGCAGCGACTGATTTGTTCAAGATTGACAGTACGTTTATAAAGACAGTAGAATCACGATGAGCATCCAAGGAGGCTATCAAAGACTCTTTATATGGTATTGGGTAGTGAGGCGCCCCATGTCCAAACAAGGGAACCTGTTGGCACATCAGTAGGCTCTAGCTCCACACGTTTACTCTTTGTCGCATATGAAAAATTGCCTCCATCCAGATCTTCGAGGGAATGCTGGAGATATGACTCGATCTGGCAACGCTAGTTGGCTATACTCCGGACTAGAGTATTAGTTGCGGCTGCATGCACGGGACTGCAGACGGCGAAATCTAATGAGGGTAGGAAAGAGGCGCTGGGTAGGATACGATCAGCAGCAGGCAGAAATTCCAGACGACTGGAAGGGATGCATTGCCGCGTCAGCCCCTAGACCTCTAAGCATGTGCTTGCTGGCGAGCATCCGAGCAAGGTGTGTAGAGTAGTATTGTGTTGAGCCAGGCGACGATCCGAGAATGCGACGGTTGGACGTCATTGGGCAACCACGGGGTTACAGCATTGTTGTTAGTGGCCTGGTCAGGGGCTAAAAGCATGTTAGAGCGGCTGACTCTTTGGGGTGAAGACAACCACAGGCTGTTGGCCGGGGCTTGGAATTGGTGCGGCAGTGGCACGGACCAGCGCCAATAAAAATCCGGGGCAGTATTGGCATCTGCGCGCGTTTGTGCAAACGTCACATCGAACCATGCCTGCCTTGGGGCGCCTCTAATGTGCGAAATAAAGAACATTCGCGGACCAAGCCTTCGAAACCGACAACATCATTGGTAGGGGACCGGTAGATGCGACACACGACAACAAAATTCGCAGTCGCAACCCCGCAAATCCAAGTGCCCATTCTTGGTCAATCGTCCGGCACCACCCATACCCGTCCTTTTCTGGCTAAAGCCGTTTAGAAACCTGGCCCACCACCTATCGGCATGTGTCATCCGAGTGTCCGATACTCTAGCCCGCATGTCGAAGAATTTCGGATGAGTTGGCTGAGTGGCGTGAGCCTGGCACCTCTGTCGCTGTCGTACCTGCGCCGGTTTGCCAAATTGATTTTTCCAAGTCTATATCCTTTCAGAAGCATCAATGGGCCGCTACTCTGCTTGCCGCGCCGTCCTCAACCACAAGGCCGGATGCAACGTGACCATTGAACAGCGAGCCTTGTAGTATGTTCCTGCGTCATTCTCATGCGGAGACAGCTTCCTTGTAAGGAAGGATCTGACGGCTCGGTCGGCGCGAGGCGTAAAGTTCCTCGGCAGCATGTGCTTGTGCTGGCACTGTCCAGCTGCTTTCCAGCATGACACCTTGGAAAATGGAGCGGCAAAGCGGAGAACCTGGAAGATCTGGGGAAACAAGCCTTGTCCCTGAGGCTACGACAACGGAGAAGACGCTTGCGACTCAGCTGAAAGCTACCGTAGTGCCTCTGAAAGCTGGTCCCGCGGCGACAACACATATGATGGTCATTGTGCAGTGCGCATCGAGTTAATTAGCAGCATATCAACAGGCGAGTTCGCCGTTTACCCAATGTTTGCCGCAGGGTCGCAGGATTGGACGGCGGTAGGTGAGTGACACTCTAAATCGTATCCCTGCGCGCTCTGGAGATATGTGCGTATGCATACACATTCATGCGAGCTTTCGAAGTGCAGCGGTCTGCTGGACCACATGATGACGAGTCCCATATCAAGACCCAAGAGACTATGCCTGTGAAATACAGCGATGATCTTTATCGAGCTTGCAATGATGTCGAGGCTCAGCCTTCGTCTTGACCCATTCTGGCATCTGGTGACAAGTCTCGGCCATTACAAGGTATCGAGGACACGGCCGGTTCTCATCTTTGGCCAAAAACATCGCGGCATTTACGTTTTAATTTCATAGAAAAGATTGTGGGAAGAGGATTCTACTGTATGATGTGAGCGCAGTGTATGTACAGAATCGACTGATCTAATGAGAGGGGCTGTTATTAGTAACCCAAGGCGGGGAGGGGCTTGTCTTACTAGAAATCAGGTTTCAGCAAAGAAAGATAGCACTGTATGTAGTAGTGTTCCATAATCTCTAACCCAAAAATTGCTTGGTTGGCCAGAATTTGGGTAGACGTTCTCTAGTCTTCTTCAGTATTGCACGTGGTAGAGCAAAGCGAATGAAGTCGAAGACATGACATCAACGCATCCATCTTCCTTTTTTTCAAACATATCTCATGAAATTTGAATAACCGAAGATAGTAGAAAAGACAAAGTCATCAAGTTTTGGGACCGAAGTCGCGAGGTCAAGCGTCAGCAATGCTGCCCAGGTTCGACCAAGATCAGATGAGATAAGATAAGATCCAATTCGGCCTTGGCTCGGTCCAGTCCAACCAGGCGCGCTAGTGAAACTTCCGTTGGCGGTCGCGATTCCTAAGTTCATGACGAACTGTTGGCCTCGTATAACAGCCAAACGCCTCCACACGTGAGCTTTCTCTGTTAACGCTCGCTATCGCCATCGCTTAAGTCGCTATATCTGTGGTTCTATATTGTACCAGTCAAATCCTCAGACAGACAAACGCAGTCATGGCCGACACAGCAGCTTCGCGACCTCCCAGCACGGCAGAGCAGCTCGTAAGGATGTCCTCGAAGCGGACGCGGGAGATATTCGCCGCCGACTTTGCTTCATCCGCCGCATTAGATCACGCATCCAACGATAGCTTCTCCATACACCCCACATCGCCGGCCCCCTCGACCGCCGCCGACCAAGCAGGCGTCGCATCGCGCATTCGCAATGAATACGAACACGTTCGCGAACTCCCACCTGCTCTCGCGGCCAAGATGGCCAGCGCCGCATCAACAGCAGCAGAGCGGCGCAAGAAGATCAAGGCGCAGAACGCCGAGGAGAAGGCCTCTGATCCTAAGATGCAGAAGATGATTGAGGGAGTCTCAGAAAAGGCTGACAAGGCGCGGGATGCGCAATCAATGCAGCTGGCAGTACGAGCTGGAGGAAAGGGCGCTGCCCCCAACGCACACGGGCCTACACCAAACAGAGATCAGACATCCAGTTCGCTGGTCAGGAAGGACGTGGTTAGGCAAGCGAAGCCTGAGTGGCATGCTCCTTGGAAAATCAAGACAGTCATTAGCGGACACATGGGATGGGTGAGTAGATTTCAATTGCCTGCAGGAGTAACACGGACTGACTTGGTATAGGTGCGATCAGTGGCCATGGAGCCTGGAAACGAGTGGTTTGCTACTGGCGCAGCAGACCGCACCATCAAGCTCTGGGACCTTGCAAGCGGTCAGTTGAAAATCACCCTGACGGGGCACATCTCGGCAGTCAGAGGCCTTGCAGTAAGCCCGAGACATCCCTATCTTTTCTCCTGCGGAGAAGACAAGATGGTCAAATGCTGGGACCTCGAAACCAACAAGGTAATCCGACATTACCACGGCCATTTGAGCGGAGTCTACTCACTTTCGCTTCACCCAACAGTGGATGTGTTGTGCACAGGAGGACGAGATGGCGTAGTACGTGTATGGGACATGCGCTCACGCAGCAACATCCATGTTCTCGGTGGTCACAAAGGAACAATTTCGTCAATCCAGTGTCAAGAAGCCGAGCCACAAGTAATATCCGGAAGCATGGACAGCACGATCAGACTATGGGACCTTGTCGCAGGAAAGACCCGAACTGTATTGACCCACCACAAAAAGTCTGTCCGCGCTCTTGCTACACATCCTACAGAATTTACCTTTGCTTCTGGTTCTGCACAATCCGCGAAACAGTGGCTATGTCCCAACGGAGACTTCATGCAGAACTTCTCCCCCGTAAACAGCATCATCAATACGCTTTCGGTAAATGACAACAACATGATGTTCGCCGGCAGCGACAATGGCGAAGTCTCCTTCTACGATTGGAAAACTGGTCATCGCTTCCAACACACTGAGAGCATCGCTCAACCTGGTTCTCTTGAAGCAGAAGCCGGAGTCATGTGCTCTACATTCGATGCATCGGGTCTTCGTCTTATCACTGGCGAGTCAGACAAGTCGATCAAGATTTGGAAACAGGACGAGAATGCAACGGAAGAGACGCATCCTCTAGACTGGAAGCCAACACTTGGCCGACAAAAATATTAAAGACGTGACGCCATTTGCCATCAAACTTGGGCAAACGCGATTATTGATGTTGCATGGTGATTAGGAGTTTTTGGCGAGTATATTGGTGTCGAAAATGTATGACTATTTGGATATTCTTTTTTGCCCCTTTATTGTATTACATGCACAAGTCTGAGAACGAAAGAGAATATACCATACCAGCGACCAAAGTGTGGTCTTAGTCTTTCGAACTCTGATTCGAACAATATAGCTTTAAATTCAAAAGCTATGGTTTCCAATGCACGTCTTCATTCGGTATCTGTTCGGAGCGTTATGATACATTTCTTGGCTTTATTACGTTCTATACATCTTGTTCATCACAAAGGCATACGCGGGCACACGACCTACTTTGGAGCGTCGGTTCGTGGACTACTTCTTTTCCCAATACATAAGTAGACGCTTAGAACTGATTTGATGTATTTTTGTCCTATAAATGCAGTCGAATCGTGTCTCATGGCTAGGTTGATGAGTGAGAGATGGTGTTGCTCACCCGCTACCCTATCCCTTTCATTCTTGCCCGATTTGGAAACTGCACTTCACTCTCACCTCTCAACACGAATTGAAAAGTTTTTCTTTCGGCTAGCGTTTGCACAAACAAGAGTGAATCCGCTCATTTTAAAAAATCCTCCTCCTCCTGTGTCAAAGCACTCTTTTCCTACATCAAAGCACTTCCTTCTCCTCACATTGTACAATCCTCCCTGGCGACAACCGAAAAGCTACCCGCCATCTCACACGCTGGCGCTGAGGCGACTGGAGCTATTCAGCATTTCTGACCGTGGTAAACCCAGCGGACGAGGCAGGGGAACCCGCGGTCGTGACCGTGGTTGTGGTCGTGGCCACGGTCGCGGAGGTAACACATCCGAAAAACATGTACGCGAGACTTCTCCCACCAGAATCAAAGAGACAGAAGAACAGCGTCAGGCACGAAATTCATACAACTCATGGAAGCGATTGTTTGCTCGACTAGTCGATAATTCCAGTATAAGGCGACAGCTCTGGGAAGGCGCGTTCAGTATATTGGAGGCAGGAGATCGAGATTGGCGCCAACGACTCCCTCAAGACCTTAATGAAGACGATGGAATTGGACATCGTCACATCCTTGCCTTACTCAGCGCCAATATCAGTGGTACTGACAATGAGACCTTCATCAGCAATGCCCGCAACTTCCTTCTTACAATCACTCATCCATCCATCCTGTGCTGTCTCGCTGTTGATACCCATGTTGAGCTCATCTACAATCTCTTTGGAGGAGTTGGTGGAAAGAGGGCTGTTTCCTTTCTTCGACGCCTTATTGGGGCCATATTGGCAGCTTCGGCTACAGGAGCGACCAGGAACTCAACGGAGGACGCAAAAGCAACACTTCTTGCCATGGCTGTTGCTCTATTCGAGCTTCTCAGGCGTGAATATAGGGTGCACTTCAACGATGAGATTCCTTCGCTTGTCGAATCTATACAGACTGCCACAGAAGTCTCTAAAGACGATGTTTCTTCAGATTCGTTGGCACGCATCTTCAACAAGCTAAACGACACTCGAGCCTTGTTAGCACGCTCTCAAGGTCTTCTTGCTGACATGAACATGGATGAAAGCAATGCAGCCGATGAGTACAACAACGCATCCTCCTATCCGCGCGACCTGATCGTGCCCTCCGGCCGTTTCGACAATGACAAGAAAGACATCGCTGACATAGTCTTGTTTCCCACTCGAGATGAGATTATGAGCGACGCAGAAGAATTTCTTCCTTATACCAACCCTGACCAGCCTCATTTCCCCGATGATCCTGTACAGCGCCACATCGATACTTTCTTCAGGTTGTTATGCCACAATATCTTTGGTGAGTTAAAGGGAGCTCTGGTAGGGGTAATGCACACAATAACTCAGGAGCCTACTGCACTATGTAATGCAAAGCTGAGCCTAGGGGACATGCGTGCTTATCATTAAATCAATGCTTGGATCAGTTGTGTCACTTTAGAGGCCAGAAAGGGTCTACAAGCACAGGTTGAGTTTGTTCAACCAGGCGCAGTTCGCAGAAAGTCAAGTGCAAAAAAAGAGAGATGGTGGGAGGAACCGCGAAGGTTCAATGAAGGAACACTACTTTCCTTTATATGGATCGATAATTCTGTTACTCAGCACGTTTTTCTTACAGTTTCGGGAAAGACCACAGATCCCGCAAAAGAATACAGCCTGAGTCATGGCAAAGAAATGGCGTATATCACTGCAAGTCTGGCAACGCAAGATCGGACCACCGTGAGGAGTCTCATGCAAGCGCACACTGGAGCGGTTCGTGGCCTGCTGTTGGAGTTTCCCAACGTGATACCTGCCACATTTTCACCTATTCTGGAGAATCTGAAGGAGATGCACCGCTTGAATCGTCTCCTATTCCAGCAGTGGATCGTGCCTCGCAGACACGAAGGACAACCGGGGAAACGGGTGATGTATCAAATCCCCCCGCCTTTGTACACACGTACTCCCGGCTTCAAATTCTCTTTGTCGCCTCTGCTAAAGGACGAAAACAAGGGGAACCAGTTGCTAATGGATTCTAGGTCCTCATGCGATGGCGAAGTGTTACTTAAGAAGCTTGGAACCGCGACCTATCTTGACCGTGGACAGTGCCAGGCTTTGATTGCGGCGCTGACTCGTGAATATGCATTCACCCAAGGTCCTCCTGGAACTGGAAAGAGTTATCTCGGTCTCCAAATCATGAAGGTTCTTTTAGGTCTCAGCAAAAAGGCCAATTTGGGGCCCATCATAATAGTATGCTACACCAACCATGCGTTGGACCAATTCCTAGAACATCTGCTTAATATAGGTGTGACAAAACTCATCCGAGTTGGAGCAATGAGCAAGTCCGAGAAGTTGGAAGGCCACAATCTCCGCTCTGTGAGCGACCTGGGGATAAAGACGAAGTCAGAAAAGTACATGGCGGCTGTGAACTACAACCGGCTTGAGAAGACGCAGAGAGAAGCCGTATCGATATTCACTTCGTTGAACAACATGCGAAGGCATCCTGAGTGGGAAAATCTGAAGAATCACATTTTTGAAGAATACCTAAACATACACAGCTAATTCTACCGTATCAATGATCAAGGGTTTAAACTAGCTGGCCGTCATCCATTCGACGTTTGGGCGTCGGACATTCAGGCATTTGGCACTCGACAGTCCGCGACATTGCTAAAGCAGATTGTGCAGAAAGCAAACACGGATGTATATTCGCTGACGACTCGGGAGCGAGGCGCTTTAGTCGCGCATTGGATTGAGGGAGCTCGAAGCAACAAAATAGACGAGCTCTATGAGATGATCAATGATGCTGCAAAAACTCAACAAGAGCTGACAAACGTACACGAAGAACTGAACCGACGAGTACTGGAAGAAGCGCAAGCCATTGGTGTGACGCCAACTGGCCTTGCGAAACGAATTGATATCCTTCAGCAAGTGAAGTGCAAAGTTATCATCTGCGAAGAATCCGGAGAGCTCATGGAAAGCCACATGATCTCCGCACTACTCCCTGATATGGAACACGTGATCCAGATCGGAGATCATGAGCAGCTTCGACCTTCAGTGAACAACTTCCCCGATCTATCACTCGAGAGTGAGCGAGGAAAGCTCCACCAGCTTGACAGAAGCCAGTTTGAACGACTCTGTGTTGGTGAGCCGGGACGTCCTTTGATACCCGTTGCTTAACTCAATGTTCAACGCCGAATGCGTCAACAGATATCTTCATTGATACGTGAGACCATCTACGGGAAACTCCAAGATCATCCTTCCACCACCTATCTACCCGATGTAGTTGGTATGCGCCAGAACGTTTTCTGGCTTGACCACACAAACCTCGAAAACCAGGAGGATGCACATGCTCATATCAATAATTACAAATCGAACTCATGGGAAGTTGGAATGGTGCATGCACTAGTGCGACACATTGTTCGCCAAGGAGTGTACAAATCCGAAGTTATCGCGGTATTGATGCCATATACCGGCCAACTTCATAAGTTACGAGCCACTATGAGGAGCGATTTAGAGATTTGCCTTAGTGACCGCGACAGGGAAGCATTGGAGAACGACGGCTCCACAGTCGATGACGTGACATCTCAAGTACCAGCCGCATCCGAACTTCGATCATATCAAGGAAAGCCCTTGGAGAAGAAGCAGCTATCCAAAATGTTGAGAATTGCTACTGTCGACAACTTCCAGGGAGAAGAAGCAAAGATCGTCATCGTGTCACTCGTACGAAGCAATGAGGCACAGAAAGTTGGGTTCCCCAAACGACCAACCGTATCAATGTACTCCTCAGTCGTGCGCAAAACGGCATGTATCTCATCGGCAACACAGAAACTTACGTTAGTATTAAATGTGGCGGAAGGTTATCAACATGCTTAGAGCCTCTGCCTGTGTCGGTAAGAGCCTGGCTCTGTCTTGCCCTAGACATCCCGGAATGCTTATCAAATTACAAGAACCAGATGACTTTCAGAAATACAGCCCTGAAGGTGGTTGTATGTTGGCATGTACTGATCGTCTTGACTGCGGTCATCGATATGGGGCTAGATACCATTCCGAAGCTATGCATGCAGTGTTCTAGTGTGAACAGCCATGCCAACGTCAACATCAGCCATGTGGTCATTCATGCCAAAAGGCCACATGTGGAGAGCCTTGTGGGAAATGTATGGTATTTTGGAACAACGTGCCGCTTCCGTGTGGCCATCTTAAGCATTCCGTTCACTGTTACCGCACCAAAAACGTCGCTAGCATTGCTTGTGATGTCAAGGTATCAAAGGTAGTTCCTGGCTGCAAACACGAAGTAGCTGTTAAATGCTCTCTGGATGTTTCTAAATCCCACTTCAAATGCCCTACCCTATGTGAGGCTCTGCTACCTTGCGGTCATCCTTGCCCCGGAACCTGTGATCAATGCAACACCAAGGATGCTCGTGATGAGCCATTGATCAAGCACTCCACTTGCCGGAAGATTTGTGGTAGGAAGTATGGAACCTGCAGTCACAACTGCAAACGTCCATCCCACGATGGAACTGATTGTGGCTTGTGTCAAAGCCCATGTGAAGTAAGCTACCCGGATATTCTTCCGGTGCGTTTTTGACATTTTTTAGGTCCGCTGCAAGCACACCAAATGTGCAAAGAAGTGCCATGAGAATCGTACGCCATGCACTGAACCTTGCGAATGGTCCTGCGATCATCGAGGCAACTGCAAAATGCCATGTTCAGCACCCTGCGATCGATTACCCTGCGATGAACGTTGCACAAAGCGTCTACTATGTGGTCATCAATGTCCGAGTATTTACGGTGAAGAATATCCTACAGAATACTGTCAGCAATGCGGTATGAAATCTGAAGAACAGCCAGACATGATCATAATGTCAAGTTACGCTGATATCAATCTAAATGAATATCCCATCGTTGTCCTTGGCTGCGGCCACTTCTTCACAACCGAGACTCTAGAAGGCCATATAGGTCTCAAGGACATATACGAGGTTGACAAGAGAACAATTGGGTTCATCGGTCTGATCGAGAATTCCGAGCTTTCAGCAGCAATCCCACAATGTCCAAACTGCAGAGAACCTGTCAAACAGTTCGTGACACAGCGCTACAACCGTCTTATCAACCGAGCTCTGATTGACGAGATATCTAAACGTTTTGTCATCAGCGGACAACAGACACTTCAGCTACTGGAAGACAGGCTTGCTGTTGAGCGGGCTAATCTTGAAACCTCACGCACTGCTGTTGTTCCCATATCTCCTGGTTTGGGCACCAATCAGGCTGTCATCGAAATGAAGATGAAATATATCTACGACAGCCTTCGAAACAGGTATTCCAGCGCGGCGATTTTGGTGGAAGATGTAAGGTTGTTCCGCCACAGAGTGGATGTTCAGCACAAACCAACGTACAAACTGTACCAATCGATTATGCACAGTTACAAGAAGAATGGCTCCCTCAACGACGATCTTGCTCAGTTATCCCTCAGCTCATCCTCCAAGTATCTGGAGCGCGACCGTGATCAGCGCATCACTTTAGGTGGCCACCTCCTCGAAATCAAAGTGCAGAGTTTGCTACTTGAGGACAAATTTGAAATTGCACGAGTGGTACTCAAACATGTAGGTGGAACAGTACCACTCAAATTTAGTGGAGGTTCGCCTGTAACGAAGACGGATTCCTTCCTTGAGGCATGCGAGAAACTAATCGGCGACTGTATATCTGGATACCTCCCAAAACTCGCTGTTGAGACATCCTTATACTACGCCTGTATTGCCCAACTTTTCAGCAGCTCTGTAATGGCCAAGGACACCGATCGCACTCGAGCAACCAACTACCGCAACACTGCCAAATGCCATTTAGAGCAAGCAGAAAAACTCTGCCAGAATTCTTTCCGCGGCCGAGACATCCTCCGAAAAGCAGTGCTCAGCTCAGCAGAGATGCTAAATAGGGAGTTCTACGAGAAAGTTTCAAAGGACGAAATCGACGCTATCAAACAGGCAATGGTCAGTGGGCCTGGAGGTATCGCAACGCACTCTGGACATTGGTACGACTGTGTAAATGGACACCCAGTAAGTGAACCAAAACTCTGTCTTTTCACTCTTGATACTGATACTACGTAGTTTGCTGTTGGCTAGTGCGGCATGCCCATTCAACTCGCACGCTGTCCGGAATGCGGCGAGCCTGTCGGCGGCCAGAACCACACTGTCGTCAGGGGTGTTTCGTGCGCAACGGCGATGGAGTAATCAATCAAAAATTAACAATCTAAGTGTTCATATTGGACAAGGATAGTCAATATACTAGGGTGGGAATGGCAGCATTGAGAAGAGGAGATGTGGAGATTGGGGGCTAACTTCGTTCCGGATCGAGTACTACGTTTCACGACGCAGTCACATCTTCCTTGGGCATAAATCTGCTTCAAAGCTTTGTTATGTAGTACTACTAATTTTCGTGTTACTTGGGGTGGATAACTGGTAAGATTAGCGTGCATGTGGGAGAAATCAAGTGGAAGTTGAGACACTCTAGCAGACCTGCGCAAGGGAGCGAACAGATAGAATAAATGGATAAATAATGGAATACCAGAGCTAGTTATTTCGTGATTGAGAGAAAATAGTGATTCAGAAGTGTTCAATATGCACTTCGTTAACCATTGAGATGCAACGCAGCTGCACGTTCGGCTCCCCACGTTGTCGCAGGAGAATAGGTATACATTAAACATGGCGAACACGTCAACTTTTCTTGGAGAGTAACTTGATCTCTCCAAAGCACTGCGATTCTTCACAACTGGTATCGCACCGAACCATTCTAGAACCTCACACTCGCTTTCAACCCCCCATTTCCCAAAACATCACTACACCGCTTACAGCAACACCACCAGCGCCCACTAACAATGGAAACCTCATCTTCACCACACGGCATCGCCAACAATCTCTTCGCCATCACGGGCGCAGCCTCAGGCATCGGCCGTGCAACAGCCACGCTCCTCGTCCAAAGCGGCGCCAGAGTCTCGCTCGCTGACAAAGACGAAGCATCCGTCCTGCAACTAGCCCAGGAGCTCGGCGAAAACGCCGCGGGATACAAAGTCGATGTTACAAAGAGCGAGGAGGTAGAAGCGTGGATAAGCCACGCGGGTGAGAAGTGGAGGTTGAGATGTATAGACGGTACGTTTTTGTATTTCACACACACAACATACATCACTTACTAGTGTAAAAGATTATTATGAAGTACTCTCAGGCGCCGTGAACCTAGCAGGCATATCCGGCGCCCTCGCCCCCATCCACGCGCACTCCCCCTCCAACTACGCCGCCGTCTTTGCCGTAAACGTCGAAGGAACATTCAATTGCATGTCCGCGCAACTGCGCAACATGCGTGTTGCAAGAGGTAACGTACCAGGCGGATCTATCGTCAACGCGGCTTCGATAACGGGGTTGGTCGGGAAACCAAATTGCTCCATCTACTGCGCGTCGAAGCATGCGGTTGTGGGACTTACGAAGGCGGCGGCGAAGGAGCAGGCGGCGACGGGGATAAGGGTTAATGCTATCGCTCCGTACGTTCTTTTTCTTTTTTTTCTTTCTTCTTCTTCTGATCAGTCACGTATGGAGGAGACTACGTACACTATTCCTCGGACGTACGTGTTGGTATCAAGATGGATGCGTAGTAAGCAAGGAGCCCCATTGTCGAAACTTAAACTTACACGAATTTCCCCCGCAGTGGCTTCGTGGATACGCCGCTTATGCACGCTCTCGACGCCGAACTCGGATTCGCGCTGCCAAACGATGCGGTGTTGGGGCGGCGGGCGCGTCCCGAGGAGGTGGCTAGGGTGATTCGCTTCTTGCTTAGTAGCGAGGCGAGCTTTGTGACTGGATCGGTGTATCAGATCGATGGGGGGATGGTGTGCTGAGTGAGAGTCTGTGTTTGCTTGCCGATGGTGTGGAGGAGGGAGAAGGTGGAGGGTGGTGAGCAACAAGGAAAGAGAAAGGGAGTTGGGAAAAAAGAAATACAGTGGGGGCGTAGTGAGAGGCATGTGTGCAGAAGCGAGACTTTGACGAGTGCGTTTGTGGTTTTTATCGTTCCGCTTACTACTACTACGACTTCTTCGTCTCTCTCTCTCTCTCTTTTTTATATCTATTTTGGCTTGTGAGGGGCCAAACGAAACGTTTAGCGTAGGAGAAAAGTCTGGTACGTGTGAGCGGGGGAGGTAACGGGGGAGTGGGTGTCGGGACACGACGATTGATAGGCACCGTTTAAGTTCTTTGGTACCGAAGGCGGACGTTATGACATTTCATTGCCGCGGCATTGCGCTAGTTGCCAGATATCAGGACACTCTTGCGGGGAAAAAGGAGCACCAAAGAAAAGACTGTATTTGGCGTTTTGGTGGTAGTTGATTGCGTCGGGAACGCCGACCGGACCAATGCAAGCTCAGAGAGAAGAAAAGAGTGAGTGCAGCACTCGGCGAATATCCTTCGCACTACGACCTTGTTATCTGTTGTGATGGTTGGGCAACTTTTGCTCCTTTTTCCTTCGATCGAGATTCGATCGAGATTGAGGCGGCGTAAATACGCGTCGTATATGATCTATTTCTTTTTCTTTTGATGATGTATGCTTAGCCGGATTCTATATCCGGTGGCGGCATTGAACTAACTGCAAATGTTAGAAAATTCCCAATCAATACGGCGAGGGGTACAACAAGGCGCAACTGATGTGAATGTGGGGAAATTTGTGTCGTCGTGGATGCAAAAGACGGATAAATTAAAAAAGGAAATATTCTCTAATGCGCCTTTGCGGCTACACAACCCAGAACTTGCACCTTGTAATCCCGTTGTTCCCCTTTCCTCACACGCTCACCTGCGTTAATTTTACTATCGTAATACCGCACACGTCAGCTTTGCTCACCGGTTAAGTTAACAAACTTCTTCTTATAATATCTTCGTCTTACTTTTCTCACTCCTTTGGTAGATCAAAATCAACGTTGCGAATACACATACGTGGACGTAGACATTGAAGCACGTCCATGCACGATAAGGTTGACGACACGACGATGTGACGACTTGAAGATGTGGATCGAAGCCCACTTTTTTGACTTTAACTCGAAAGCTTTTTTCGACAAGAATCTTAGGATTATGGTGAATGTTAAGGTGCTGAGGGGCGATTTCTCTGAAACGACAGATAACGGTGTTAGTGTATGCTATTGTAGCTGAGCGCTGCTTATCAAATTTATCGATCTACAGATGAGAAAGTTTCTCTGCACCACCTAAGTATATCATACCCTTCGTTTTCTTCATGCAATGTTTATGGCTAGTGACTGCGCGTTTAGAATAAGACATCATTAGGTGCGTTTACCAAAAGTTAAAGGGGCGTTGAAAGGAGAAGGGGTCAGGTCTAATTAGACACGGAGGTGCTGTGGATACGAAGCAAAAAAGAGAAACTTACGGATGGGCTGTTCAACCTTGTTGAAGGAGGCAGAGCATAATAGGTTGAAACGTTGGGGCTGAAAGAAGTTTGGCAGGTTAGGGAAAGATAAGCAGGGAGAAAGCTAATTAGAAAGGATAAGTGAAATCTGACGGCCATGATTGGTCAGCCCAGGTGGGCCCCTTACTCTATGTTCCAAATCAGGATTAGTCAATTCCACGATGCAGTACAGAAGGTGAGATTATACGCATGTACATGTCGCAAACAGAAAAAGGCAGATCTCGCATACCGTGGTCATGATAGAAGCTGGGTGTTTGAATACATTATTTGTTTGATATGTGGTTCATGCCGATAGGCGGTTTACAAAGGAAAGACGATAGGTACGCTTTGCGTGTGACGCTAACTAAACTTTGGTGCCTCCCAAACTATCTATTTCCTCTTGCCGCTCCTAGGGGAGAGGGGAAATGCCCCTAAAACTCAACCCGATATTTCTATCCTAGGGAAAATGTACTCATTTCATTTCATGCACCCCCATCTTGGCGAATACCTTTTCGTGACGAGGATCTGTAGGAAGTGCTTGCACAATGACCGCTTCAAGTTCACGATGAGATCCATTGGAGCCGATACGCTCACGATATTTCCAGTCTGTTTCTCCACTGCGCTCCGAGAGCATGACATCTTCCCTTGCACTCGGATTTTCCCGCAGGCGATCTGCAACTGTTTGGCTTGCGGAGACGAACCAGGGGAGGCGGCCATTGGGCTTGACTAAATTGACGAAATAAGCCCAGGTCCGTTATTATTGATGTGATATTAAGGTAATTTCGGAACTTACTAGTCCAATACTCCCGGTGATCTTCATCATCTGGAACGATGTAACCGCCGGAAATAACCTTAGTTATGTAGATCATCCCGTTAAGTGCCGTGTATACCATCAAACCCGCTATTAGGCCATAGGCGGCGCTATAGCCAAAGGGGATGAACATGACAGTTACGAATGCAGGGACGGCGTCGCCGATGTAGCGCCAGTTGATCGACGTGATCTGTCGCATCATGAGGCAGCCAACCTGGTGACAGGGTCAACGGCGAAGCTCGGGTCAGCAGTAGTACGGGTACAACTTACAAGAATCAGAGTACACCCGGTAGCCCATGGTGGAATAGATGCGAATATGGGAGCGAAGAACATGGATATAATGAAGCACAGCCCACAAGTCATTGCTGTCAATCCGGTCTTTCCTCCTTCGGCAATGCCAGCGCCACTTTCAATAAAAGCTGTGACAGGCGAACAGCCAAGAAGCGCGCCAATAGATATGCAGAAAGCGTCTGTGCAATAAGCGATTGTTGATCTGGGGAAATCCCCAGTCTCCGAGTCGACAACACCAGAAAAACGGGCCATCGAGTAGAGCGTTGCGGTACAATCAATGATGTCGACGTAAAGAAAGGTAAAGAGAGCGAGGGCGAAGTGGCCAGAATTTTCGGAGATGTTCCAATCTAATGCGTTCAAGGTACGATCAATAGGCTGGAAGCTGACCACCTTTTTGAAAAAGTTGAATCGGTCGTTGCCAATTTCGGAGTCGGGGAAGAAGGTCACTTCAGTTCCTCGTCTGTAAAGATGTTAGTAGAATTCGCCGTTCAGAGGGATTCATCAGACATACGGCCATGAGATGATAGATACAAGCAAAATGGCCAATATCATGGCACTCTTGACTTTGTAAGACATCAAGTACGCTGTCAGAATGCCACCGCACATGATGCCAAGCCACATCTAAATGCTCTGATTAGCTGGGCCTTGTCCAGGTATTGCGATGCAACGTACCGTCGGTGATGTCATCTTGTGGCTTTTACAAGTGCCAAACTCATCCTTGTATTGATTTGGACATCCAGCAATGTCAAGTGGTGTACTGCTCGAACCTGCAATAGCTCCAATGCCAGCATTATTGCTGAGGCCCACCTCGGCTAGGAATAGCCCGATGCCGCAAGCAGCGGCAATCTTGAGCGATACAGGGATTACCTTGACGAGCCATTGTCGCATTCCGATCAAGGACAAGAAGATGAATATCAGGCCCTCGACAAAGACGGCAGTAAGTGCAAGGTTGTAAGAGATGAGACCACTTCCATTGAAACCTACGATTTGATAGGCAAAGTATGCGTTGAGTCCCATTCCTGGGGCGAGGCATACTGGCATGTTTGTTAGGAATCCAAACAAGAAGGAACTAAAGCCTGCTACTGCTGCTGTTGCTGTGATGAGATTGCGGTTGACATCTGGTCATGTGTTAGCCAAAGTCTGTAATTCATGCGTAGACTGCTCGTGCCTTGTTTGCAAATGAGATACTCGCTGTTTTTTAAGCACAAAGGGTCGGCTGTGTCGTTGCATACGCAGTTTCCACCGGTGTCCGAGAGAATGGTAGCCTAGTCTCTCAGTAACGTTTTTGATACGGGACCCTCACAGACTAACATTGACAGCGATGATGTACGCCATAGTGAAGAATGAAGTGAGCCCAGCTCGAATTTCTGTAGTAAACCTAGTGTGCTTGATTTCATCCTCCTATTCGGCATGTCAGCGAGTGATAGCAGGGCGCGAATGTTAGCAATGAAACACACATGTCCACAGCCATCGAGGCGAAAGATCCTCCCGAAAGTTGACTTTCCAACCTGGGCATTGAAAGCGTCGACATAGGCGTGATAAGTTTCCATGGCTGCAGATGTGTGAAGACAAGCAAATGTGGAGATGCGGATCTTTGCTGGGAGGAGGGGGCGAGCAGGAGGACCGCAAAGGATCTGCCTGCACCGACTATATGTGTGTCGCGGGTGGCGTGGTATAAGCAAGCATGAACGAGGCTCAAGCAAAAGCAGATGACATGTATAGGGCTCGCGACTGCGACGAGTCAGACCGAAGCCATAAGCAAAAGGCATATAATAATGCCACTGAGAGATAAGAGGGCTCCAAGGCTTTGCTAGTCTTGAGATCAGAAGCAGGCCAGACGGCAAGGCGCTGACGGAGGCGGGGAGCAAGGGGAGCCAGTTCCGGCACCAGGGTAGAAACACGCATCCGAAAGCGTTCTCATGTAGGGAACCAAGGGGTGACGCAGCGGTGGCATGATCCTAGTCAGTTCCGCCGCGGCAAGAGCGTTGTCGTACAGGCGAACCGGATGCTGTGGAATGGTACGCGCGGGTGGGTGTAAGTCAAGTAGCCCTGTGTGGTGGTTGAGCATTGTATGATCACGGGCGGAAGCGAGTCAGGGGCGCAGGTGGGCTGACCGGGGTTAGTCAGGCACCCTCGACGCAGATCCAGCCGCATTCCGCCTGGCGCATCTGTCGATCATCCGTGCAGTAATACTCGCCCCGCACTGGCAGCAGACGGCCAACACCTCGGCGTCTCAGTGGCAGTGGGTGTTGCGCCATAGTGTTTGTTTCTTTTGGCTGCACATGGCGTGTCTAATGTGTCGGTAGTAGGTGTCCTATGCCCAGTGCTCAAAGGCCAGACTTTGTGCCGCTGCGCCGGGTGCGTGGCACTTGGCCTGCGTCGACGAAGATCGACATTGATCTCCCGCCGCCGAACGACTCGATTTTTCCTCTTACGTCTGCTGGCCGTGTTTGGTAAGCCTGCTGGTGCTCCGCAAGACAGGCCACCTTGTCTCCTTGTCAAACCTTGCGACCAAATACCGCAGAGTGCAGACGAAGAGGCTGACGGGCTGGCCTGGCTGGCCTGGCTGGCTGCGCCTATCGTGCAGCATTACAGTGTGCTTTTTTCGGGGAAGTCCCACACCAGATAGAGAGACGCATTGCACGTCCTTAGCACGTGTGGCCGCAGACCTCTCCAGCAATGCGACCGGCATGTCCAAGAAGGGCATTGTGTTGGGCAACCGTGCGTCTAGCATCCGAGCACGACAGCATGGGGGTGGGTAGTGTGCTTGGCCGTGTAGTTTGGCTCGGGAAGCCCTGATTATTAGGCCTAAAGCAGAATTAAGAGGTCAATAACGCCACATTCTCGTTGGTGCGACAGCGTTTCGTCAATTACTCACATACGGCCAGTGCCAGGTACCGCTACGTGATCTGCTTGACGGCCGCAACACCATCTGCCAGGCGCCCGTGTCGGCGTGCATTGACCGACCAGAAGGCTCCATTCTACTCACAAATAGCCTCCAGTCCACGCTCTGCGCTCGCCACCTAGGGCTGTCGACTTGGAGTGTGGCCCCACTAACCCCACTGCGTCTCGTCATCCATAGTCGAGCATGTTTGCAACAGACCTTCCACTGGAGAAAGAGCCCGAGACATTCGGAGCTCGGAGAGAACGAAAAGCGAAGGAGCGATCTGTTAGGTCACCATCTATCGGTGCCTCTACTACATCAAGAAGCTCGAGAGGCTCTGCCTCGACTGAGCGTGACGCATGGTGGCCGACGAGCTTGAAGAAGGCAAACATCATCAAGCCTAAAACCACACGACCTCCGTCAGGCTCCAGTCAGTCTTCGCAAAAGACTTTCCGTAATGTTCCGGCGACATTGGATATGAAAAAGGCACGTGAATTCAAGGATCCAGCGCTGCAACCAAGTTGGACGTATACTAGCTCGCTTTCTGGCACTCTGCCATCCGGAAACTCTTTACACTTGGACGAATACCACCAGCCCTCAGAGCTCGAAGGTGATAACTCGTCTCGACAATCAAGCTCCATTTCTTCACATGCCTCGAGTAAGTCGCTAACCACTATGTCGTGTTGGGAGTTGCGCTGATGTTTTTGGGCAGATGACCGAGATGAGGCAATGACGCCCATCACAGTAGACAGCGACGACGCCTATCACCTGCCAACAATGAGTCCAGAGTCGTTTGTGACAAGCCGAAGCAGAGCGAGTTCATCGGCAGGCGAACCCTGTTCTTCAACATGGTCGTCTGTTCTGGACATGAGAAGCAAGAAAAAGGCGTAAGCAGTACGGATTCTGTCGTTGTGTGCTTGTACTAAGCCTCTGTAGCTCTCCACAGCCAACAAAGAAAGGATATCCGAGACCAGAAGCGTTGGAATTATACGACGGTTTCCACAGGAAAATGAGTTTGAACGACATACGAACACCCTCTTTCGACTCGGACATGTCCAGCAAACCTTTCTCGCAATGGCAATGTCTCGCTCCTCGCGAGGTACCCACGGAAATACAGCTGAATGCGCAAAAACAACCATCTGCCAGCATACTATATTCTCCCAATAGCAGCTCTGTGCAGCTTACCCGATTTCAGCGATTTATTCGCAGAATGGAATCTGCAGGCCCTAAGGTCATACTCGATCGACTCAAGGAAGGCTGGCAGGAGGCAACCAGTGACGGAGTTGACGAAGAGGTATGTATATCTCTCTTGGTATTGGAAATGTCCTACTAATTGTTCTGCATCAGTTGATACTCGAAAAACAGCTCTGCCTGTTGACAGGCCTCCAGATGCAAACTGCGAGACATGACAAGAGCACCCCTATACCAGAGTTCAGCACAGGCAAGATCCTAGAGCTGTACGGAAATCTTTGTAAGTTGATGTTGTGCTCTGTGCTACGCTGTTGTGCAAGTTCTAACGGTTGTCATTAGCGGAGGTATACCAGTTATCAGCAATGCATCCGTCGCAAATGGTGCATTTTCTCACCACAAAACCCCAGCGACATGTTCCCTTGCCTGGAAATGTGTCATACTTGACGGTGCGCAAGTTTGGCTCAGTCCCACTGCCTTACCCGGAAGACTACTTTTCTCACATCCGAGCGTCGACTCTGCCGTCTCTTGTGCCCTCATCTGAACTGCCCGAGTTGTTTAGCGAATGCTACAAGCTGCTTGCTCCTGGCGGCTTCTTAGAGATCAGAGTCATGGATGCGGCCCCTGTGCGCACCACAGCCGGGCCACTGATGCGCGCGTGGATTGAGGACAGGCTTTCTGTCAACCTAGAGCGGCTTTTCAGATGTTCGAAACCGTGTGCACTACTCCCCGCATGGCTAACAGACGCCGGCTTTGAATTGGCCGATCAACACAAGGACCAGAAGCTAACATTACCGTGTGCTTCTGATCCAGAATCTGCCAAAGTCGATGACGAGCTCTCCACCATCATTGGTCGTGCCTTGTGGAAAGACATTTGGGGAAGTTTTGTAGACGACTCTCCTGACGAGCCAAAGTGGTGGTGGGAAGACAAGGAGATTGTGGAAGAGTGTGTCAAGCGCCAGACCGTCCTTGAGTGCAGGACGATTTTTGCATACAAGCGAGAGGTGGCTCCGTGAGCACAAAGGTAATACTAACGAAGGTATGATGTGTGTGTGTGTGTGTGTGTGTGTGTGTGCTGGAGGTGACATAGTTTGATGTTTTGTTTGCGTTTGCTTTGTATAATATAGATACCCGATGCGTTGTTGTGAACTATAATTCCGAGAAAGTTATGATCTGACTGCAACCATGGAGTTGTCGTTGACAAACTGGGTGTAGTGGGATGTCAGACGATACACGGCCTCACTTAAATGTCGCGTTTACTACTGCCCGCACGTGATAGCGCGACATTGCCTAATGTGTTCTTCCAAAGAACGCGTCTTGAACTCTATGTTAACCCTGATTGCAACCTTTTCTCTTTGCAATCAATTACACACGCGGACAACAACAATACGCTATACATAACTCGAGCCATTGGAGATTGTAACAGCATCGGAGCCATGTCGTTGCATCTTGCTCTCGGGCCTCAGCCGCGACGTCCGTGCCACGTACTCTGTTTCAGCTGGATAGTGTGCAACGCGCTGTAGCTACAATACAAGATCAGCCACGGTGTCGGCATTTCCGAGCACTCTCCATCAGTCAGCCCGCCTCTTTTCGCTCAACGGTGCTGTCACTCAGTCCTGTTTCGTGGGCTGAACACCAGTGGCTTCCAGCACGATCCCACTACCACAAGTGCGTCACCTCATCGACCACTGGAGCGCTCCCTCACCACTCCATCTGTCCACACCCAACTCGCCGGGCCCACTGCAAACTACCGACCTGGGTCTGGTCCTCGCCCATTTTCCCCCACCACCCCTGTCGATACCCGACCTACGCTTCGATATATTGCTACCGAAAACAAACCACGTCCAACCTAGAAAAAATAAATAAATTAAAAAAGATGCTCAACTCTTTGGGCACCAAGCTTGCGCTACGGAAAGCCGGATTGGGAAACATCTCGCTTCCAAAGACCGACAACTTGTTTGGTGGCAATAGTAGCACAGGAGGCTCGAAAAAGGGCACTGCGGATGGAGGAGATGCGGGCTTCGCCAACCCGTTTGCAAACGTGCAATGGGGAGTCCCCAAAGCATTCCAATCATGGACCACGCCCCCGCCGCCCCAGGACCCCGTCCGTAAGCCCCCACAAATAGGAGACCGCGCCCAGTCGCACGCGAAGTTGCAGTTCCCGGCGCCAGATGCTCGACCTGCAATAGTTTTGTTTCTGCGCTTCTGCGGATGTCCTTGTAGGTTTTTTTGTTTGTTTGTAATCCATGTTCCAGAAATCTTGAAAAGCAGTATACCACAATTGACATGTCCATCTTCATTGTCAAAAGAGAAGAGAAGCAAAAACCCAAGCCCACCAAACAAAACTCAAACTTCCCACACATACACACACACACACACACACACACACACACACAATCTAACAAAAAATCTCTCCAGTCGCACAAAAACTCCTCCTCCGCCTCCGCACCCTCGCAAACCGCTACCCCTCCATCCGCTTCATCGCCATCTCTCACTGCACGCCCGCCGCCACCACTGCCTGGCTCTCCAAACTCGGCGGCGCCTGGAACGTTGACATCATCGTCGACCCAGAGCGCAACCTCTACGCCTTATGGGGCCTCGGCATCTCCACCTGGGCACACGTCTTGCATCCGCGCAACGGCTACAATCAGGTGATGCTGAAGAAGAACGAAGGGGTTTGGGGACATGAGGTGGGGGAAGGCGCGTGTAGGTGGCAGCTTGGGGGTGCGTATGCGGTGGACGGGCGTGGGGTGGTTACGTGGGGGGCGCCGATGGAGTCGGTGGATGAGGAGATTCGGTTTGAGGATGGGGTTAAGACGTTGGGGTACGGGGATTCGAGGATGTAGGAAGGGAGGGAGGAGATGGGTATAGAATTAGACTTGAGGGTTCTTTGATTGATTCGGAAGACTGCTGCGTTAAGAGCGAGGTTGGGTACCGTGTTTTGTGAAGTTTTAGACGTAAAGAATCCGAGACGAGAAATCCAATTGGGAATATATTTGGCACTTGTTCTTATAGTTCAACTTCTTTCGTGATGCAAGCACACACCAATCCATGTATTCATCCACCAAACTATATACATCACTACTATCTACAACCCGTTAATTACACGATCTCTATCTCCATCGCCATCCGTCGTGTCTAAGATAATAATCCCATTCTATACAAATCCCCTCCCTCCTTTGCCATCGCAAACATTATCTACATACCATCATTACCCAAATTCACCCCCAAACAATCTAAAGGAAAAACGTAAATTAACTCGCGATGCTCATGACGCGATATCATCAAAGGTACGTGTGACCGTGGTGGGGGTTCTGAGGTATCATGTCTAAAAAAAAACTCGCAAGAGACCGAGAAAAAAGGGAAATCGTTAAACATCATTAACAAATGAAACAGGGGGAAAACTGAGCCGTGAAGAACAAGGTGATTCTCTCTCTCTCTCTCTCTCTCGCAGATGGGGGAGGAAGAGAGGTTCCGGTTCAAAACCGCGTTTATTTCGGTCCCAGGAGTCCGGGATAAGAAAATGCGGGGGAGGGGGGGAAAATTCCGGCGACACGGTCGTCCGCATGACCGACTAAGGATCCGAAGAAGGAAAGAGTTGCGTACTCTATTCCTTTTTTTGGAGGAATCCATGGTCGATGGGGTGTCGGAACAAACTTTCATCTAAAAGTATCGGTCGACAATGTCGTATCCGCTGCGAACAGCCCACTCGACGATTTCCATGCCGCTGATACCGCTGGCATAGTACGTCTTCTTGCAGCCCTGAAGGTTGTTGTATTTCTCGTAAGCGCCTGCGGCGAGGGCTTCGCTGCCAAAGTGGGGGAAGTAGTCCCACTTGCGGAAGGCCTTGACGTCTTCTTCGGTAAAGGGGGAGGGCTTGGCTGTGGCATTCCGTGGGTCCTTGTTGATTGTGGATAAGCTGTCGATGAGTAGGCGTTTGGCGGCTGCCTCGGTCTGGAATTCGTATGGACCCCAGGACCAGGCTACTGATACGTTGGATTGCTGGCTTAGGCGCAGAATGGCGACGGGCTCGCCGTCGTTTGGTGGGGGTATGTTGGGCGAGGTGCTGGCGGCGACGTAGGACACGCCGAATGGAAGCTCGAGCTCCACGGCCGAAGAGTAGTACTGGTGCGTCGTAACGTTGGCAAAGGTATTATGCTCTTCCTCGGTCAAGTCGACGCCAACACGCTCCAGGTTTTCTAGGCTTGGGGGAAAGGCAAAGATGACGGAAGAGCATTCTTGCTTGTTCCAAGAAACAAAGTTTCCTTTTGGTACCGTGTAGGTCAAGATTGGGTTGGGTCCCGATCGGTCTACGCAACGGACATCAGCAGACGTGTAGATGGGCGTCTCGCAGAGCTCCTTCTTGGTGTACTCGGCAAACATTTTGTGAAAGTCCATGTAGTACACATTGCGAATGCCTGCAAAGGCTGTGAGAATGTCAGGCGTGAAGTACTTTAGGATGTAGAGCTAGTCAGATGTTAGCGCGTTCTGCATGCGCGATCCCTGCAAAAAAGTTGGCGGGCCATGACGTACTGCTGGGACAATGTTGATATCTCCATAACCATAGAGCGCGACAGCATTGACAAGCAGAAGAGGGAGCGCAGTGAAATTGTTCTGGCGAAACCACTCTGCGCCTGACAGGGTAAATTCGTGTGGGATACCGTCCTGTTCCTGCATTAGCCTAGTGGATTTTGTGTATGACAGGGGGGGCTGTACCCTGTAGTTGAGAGCACTGGCGGGTCGGAAGCGCTCATTCCACAGTACAACGTATCTCGGGATCTCTGCAGCGACCGTAGCGGCGAATTGCGCGGTCAAGGCAGGGTAGGGCAGGATGTCGCCGCTTGTAAAGTTGTAGATGTACTGGCTACGCGCGCCGGCGAGCGAAAAGGACTCAATGGCAACATCGGTCTTGTTTAGTATGCCGACGGTCTCGGTGTAGGTGCCATTGGAGAAGAAGGCAGCGCCGAGAGGGTGGAAGATGCCTCTGGATAGGCGGTTAGTCGCGTCTGAGGATTGCGACGCTGGGCAGGACTTACTTTTCATCATACCACGACTGGCATTTACCACCGACCTTTTCTTGTCGGTCGAAAACAACAGCGCTGATGCCCTTGTCTTTCAACCTACCAGCGGCGGCCAAGCCGGCCGGGCCTGCGCCAATGATGCATACTGGTTTTTTATGATGATGATGAGAGTCGCCGGTTGGGGCAGAGAGGACCAGCGAAGGAAGCGCGACCAAGGATACGAGGAGCGACCACATGGCAGAGAGAGAGAGAGTGTCGACGGGGAGTTTGGCGCAAAGGGGACAATTGGGGAGGGCATGAGAAAGGATGGGGCACCAGTACCTGCAGCTTACATATAGCAGTAGTGCTGGGTGCGGAGGCTTGCGTAGTTTGGTTTCCTTTTCGGATGTTCAGTGCCCTGTAGGGCCAGGCGCTGCGCGGTGCGTTGGCATTAGACGGGATACAGGCGGGCTAGCACAGGGCCTCGCTGCCACCTCTGACGCCAACTCTGGATTTGCAACCATGGTCAGGCTGGAGCGAGCATTCGCGAGGTAACTTTTGCAATGGTAAACGGTCGTGCGCAGAAGCATTGGGCGCCTCCTGTGACGTTTGGGACGAGGGTCTGCTACGCGGGAGGAGGTCGGTATGGATGTTTTTTTGTTTTTTCCCGCAAGCCCCGGCCTGGTCGCAATCCGGGACAACGGCGGCCCAAGACAGCCAGATTATGTACTGCAGCACCTCAATGGGATAAGCAGGCCGATGGGTGTGTCTGCCCTATGATGGGCAGACGGTGTTTGGAGGCAGGCTTCGCAGCAGGTTCTGGAAGCGGTGAAGGAAGAGGTGTAGGCACATGTCATGGTGCAGCAGCCATGCGGTACGCGAGTCGGGAAATGGAGCCAGGGCATCTGTCGCCATTCAGCATTCAGCCCTGTCGCTAGTCCCCCCGCCAACGTTTGACCTCCAGCCGCCCATCTCGCCGGGACTGGTTCCCGCCTCTTCAAAAAGCCTCTTCAACAGCCCGACAACACTGTATCTTTACGCCCACCGTCAGGCCACTCGCTATTACAGACACGTCGCGTGTGTACTTACACACACACATACACACACACCTCTGGCCTGATGCTGGCCTCTCTTGCACTGCCCGCGCCGGATTGGGCACGCCGCGTCGAGACAGACGTCATCTCCCGTCGGCGACTAAGCCTGCGTTGGTTATGCCGCGAGATTGACACCTCACACTGCCAGCCTTGCCGTGACAATCCAACCAGGCATCGTGACGGCGGAAATTGCGCCCGCTAGGCAAACTCCATGCGCATGCGTGCGGTGGAGAAGCGGGATGGGCTGACATCATGTTCCATGCCCACGGACCAATCCACCGCTGAAACATAAATAGATATGCTCAGGGTCTTGCTTCAAAGCAAAAGTCCAGGAAAAGAAAGAGGGTGTCGCACCATGGGCCAACCCTGCTACCACGGCATGACGGCACCTCACCTCAATAACATATCCACGCATGTCCACATCATGCTTGTCTGAGCCTGGAGCAATCAAGTCAGTGTGTAGCATGTAGGTTCTCAATTGAGACGGGTACAGTACGTATGCCCTATACAGGTTAAAACTGAACACTCAAGGGGGATCTGGTAGCCAACCACACCTTCATTCTCAGCCTGTAGGGTATCTCCTGCATCGCGTTCAATCATACCAAAGCTACGACTGGCCTGCATCTCAACAGGGAACGAAACGCGAGATGAGTATGGGAAAAAAGAGGTCGTTGCCCTGGTGGGCTGACGTGATGGCATTACATGCTATCGTAGTAGAGTACTAACCGCCTCGCTAAGAGACGCGAAAAGAAGAGATTGGCATCGTGATGCGCAGTTGACCGCCCAGAGAACAAGGACAAGAGGGGAAAGAAAAGAGAAGAAAGAAAAGTCGAGTCCGAGAGAGCCGCCCAGTCTTGGTTTTTCCAAGTCAGGATATTGGTGGTAAGAAAAATACAAATGAAAATGAAAGTTGAGGGTACGAATGGCCCACCAGGAAAACCCCTAGCTCAACGGTACCCCAATGCCACACGCTCAACGTATGCGAATATTAAATAAAGGTAATGTGCACTGCGCCTCGCGATCAGTACATGTAGGCTTTTTGCTGCTCTATATCAATCTCGAACCGACTTTTGTCTGTGTCACCACTCATTGGCCGCTCCGAGAAGGTGCTGTGGTGGGCTGGGTGCGTGCTGATTGCAAGCCCAGGCTGCGAGTCGTTGTTCTCAGTCAGCCTGCGTGTGTCCAGCTCGACCTGGTCGATGACAGGTGTAATCTTCTCCTTCTTTTTGCTGTGTTGCGAGCCACTTGCATATCTTGAACCCTGTTGTCTCGCTCGATGCGGGAAGAGCAGGGGCTTGAGTGCCGGGATGCATCCGCAAATGACACCGACGTTTGTTTCAATGGCCGTCCATACCCAGATCTGGTACCCTTCCCAGGTTGCATCGTATGTCTTGAACAGTGTGTAGTGGACCCAGTACGCTCGGAAGCTGCTGGCAACAACAATAAGACCGCCAACGGAAAAGAGAACGACCAGTCCGAGGCGTTGACTCCATGGAAGTGAGAGCGAAAAGAGAGTTGGGATCGGTAGTGCGTAGATCATGAAGTCGGTTACAACGTTGAGGACACTTTGTACGACAAGCGGGGGTCCCTCTGGAATACAGTCCCGATGGTCGGCATTCAGCTTCCAATAGCTCGAGATTGGGCTGTAGTTGTCAGCACTAGAAGGACTGTTTGCTTTGGATATAGTACTCACATGCACTGTACCCACAGGGCAACCAGGAAGACGACGAAAGCGGCAAAGACGAGAGCAAAAGTCGCCCACACCAACTTGCGGAAAATGGACTTTTCGGGTGCGATGCGGAAGTACGATACCAGGATCGACATCTTGATAGTCGATGATGCAAGTACAAATAATGTTTGGCCTGCCATGGACGCCTGCAGAGGTTAGCATCAGCTTATCGTGCCACGAGCCAACCCATGGTCGTACCTGTCTGCCAACCATCATCTCATGTGGCTTCAGGTCCCAGACATGACGGTCCCAACCGTACAGCTGAGACGCCATGATGACAATGACGGTAGTACCTGTATGATGAGTCAGTCATGATGGGGCTTGATGCGAGCTGGTGGGGGGGGAGGAACGCACCAATACTGAAGATCATGGCAAGAATCATGAGATAGTCGTCATACCAGCTCTTCTTCAACCATGATATCCGTACCCAGAGCCTGAGGAAGACGACTATCATGGCAATTGGAAGTAGCGTCAACTCGACAATCATCAACCCCGGGCCTCTAGTGACGGGGTCGATGTAGTTGGGCTTGGGCCAGGTCTTCAGGACCTCTGGCGGGGGAGACCTCATCGTGTGCGGCAAAGCAAAGTTTCAAACAAGGTAGATGGACTTCAGATGGATAATAGGTCAGACTGAGGAACGAGCGTCATCAGCGTCCAAGATGCACGGGACTGGGAATGGACAGGAATATAACTCTCCTCGAGGGCGACAAAAGGGACTCGGACCAGTCTGCTCGAGCTGCGCCGTGCACATCGGCTCGACTCCATGTGGAACTCGCCTTCACTGGGGAGGGGCATGGTACGCGGATACACAGAAAAACTTCGCATACGCTGCACTATTGGTAGGCGTCAACGGCAGCTCCGTTGCGGGTGCTTGGACTGGTGTCGGATTGGCCCGCAGGGGTCCCGGTACCCTCAACACAGCCTTCGAAGGCAGCGCGCACCGTGACTTGCTGGTACTTTAGACTACTGTGGAGAAGCGAGCAAGTAGACGCAAGCTGAGGGTGGAGTGGCCCAGTCTGGGTCCAGGCATCTTGTTGCTGCGGTCCATCAGTGGCTGAGTGCTACTATGAGTGCCTGGCCAATCGCCACTAGAAGCCGGGGGCACCTGCAAAGTACCTGGGCCTAAGCGTCTGTGCACGTTGCCGTTGTACAACTTGATTTGGGCTCCTTGATATAAGCCGATACTTTGGGTGACTGACGGCGTCATCTAGACTGCCGCTTTCTACCAAGCCCGCGTCGCTCGTTGAGTGTCTGCCCTCGTCCACCACGCGCCTGTCGCGTGTCGTCGTTGAGAGCTCAAAGGGTCTCGCTTTGCCTCTTTGCCCGTTGTGGCGAAGCGTCTTTCGGATCGGCCGCCGAGATGCAAGGGTCATCCCAGGCACTCGCCTGTACGCCAGCGAATAACCTCACCGCATCCCATCAATGTGTGACGACCCATTCCTACACGCGCTCAAATGCGGAATGCGGAATGTGGAATGCAGAATCTGGACAGCGCCAATTTCCCGTATCCGCTCTCTCGTGGCTCAGCTTATTTAGAAATTTCTCCTCCAGCTCCAGCCCAGCACCAACTACTCGCCTGGGCATCTCAACTGCTTGACTCCCGTCCTGGTACTCGGTACCACTTGGCCCTATGACAGCTGTCATGCCATTCCATTATAGCGGTTGAATAAATAATAGGTGGCGACTTTAACTTGGCTTCGCCTTCGGGTGACGACAATTGCTGGAATCATTATGCACGCTATTCCCTCCAAGGTAACTATCAAAGACTGGGTATGCCTACTCGGACGCATCGGATGGCTACCCACTCCCGGCACGGGATGCGAGTAAGCTACCATCACATACAGCCAAAGTGGTTGAACAAAAACCCCTGTCCTAGTGCCCATCCATCCCAACGTCCCATGCTCCTCCCTGTCTCTCTCACTCCACCTATACCGCCCCCGCGGCCCATCTTGTCCTGTCCCTTGGGACCGATGACCGCGTCAGCCAGCCGTTACCCACTTGGCCCGTTAGAAGCCTACTGATCCTTCATAACAGGTGGTCCATCTCTCCCAATGACCTGCATGCACGCATCGTGTTCGCATTGGGATCATCGTTGCAGTGGTTGCGAGAGAGTGTTTTTTTCAGCCCTCAATAGTCCGCTACCGACCCTCACCACTAGCAACAATAACAACAACTGTACAGAATCTTCCCCTGTCTCAGTTAGTTCTTCATCTGCTCAGACAACTGAGATTTGGATAGACAATTCGACCCACTATTATCAGCTACTATGATGAAGCTCCTCTTCCCCAATTGGCTTTTGATATCGGATATCCTTGGACGCCCTCCACATTTCCAGATCTTTCTGCACCCCTTTTGCCTCTCGGCATATTTCCAACTGTTCAAGGGCATGGGTTCACTACCATATGTCAAAGCTGATCGAGATTGCACTCACGAACTATATTACATTTTCCGTCTAGTCATCCATATCAGGGCGTCAGTGGACGGCACAGCTTCCAATTGCCTAGCCACAAAACGCCATCAACACTGTTCAGGACTATCTGAGTCCCAGAGAAGCATTTCCAGTTTATTTTGAACAAAACAGGCACGAGCAATAATCTCTCGACCTCACTAGCCCCCGATCACCACACCACTTCTCCCGATCGCACTACTATCTTCATCGGGCAACCTAAAATAAGCACTACACTAATTCCATACCTCTCAACTCAGACCATAAAAGCGTCAAAGCACATTGTCATCGGCACTACATTCGGCCCAAACACACAACTACCGACATGACCCAAAAACGCCCTTGGGTCCCGCACGCACCCCTCTACGCGAGGCTGGCCTATCCATCCCGCCTTCCCCTACGCCATGCCATCTCTTTTGACCCAGCAGCGAATCGCCACTCACTTCAAACATCCCACGGGCATCTCGTCACGAACATTTTGTGGGGAGCTGGCCCTGGGGTAATCCCAAACGCCACTGACAGAATCGAGAATCGCGACGCTCCAATCACGACACGAAGTCTGCAAGGCTGTGAAAGTCGCCGACATCGCATGTATGTGTCAGCTCATTCTGGCATGATTTGGAAGTGAGGGGCTGGTTTACTAACACCCCTTTTATCGAATGATGTGTCTTGTTTATACTTACTCAGCACAGTCATGTTGACTGGGTTGAGGATCTCGCTTCGAGTATACGAACTTGATGAGGCTGTGGGGGTTGTGCTACCACGTCATTGTGGTGCGTTTGTATCTGATGTATACAGGAGAAAAAGATGGGTGAAAGAATAAGAGGTTTTGGTTCTAAGAAGTTTGGTTTTTACTTGCCGGTTGGTTTGGAACAGGGCTGCCGGTATGAACAGTTGTTGCAGCTCGTCAAGATCTATCTAAGAACATCTCACTAATAAGTCATCTTAGATCAAAGCCTTGGTCTGCCAAGGACTGACTTGTCCAAGAACCTCCTGATATGTATCTTGCGTTCCCCTTACTCTCTATTTCCCTCTCTCCACAGCACTCATAGTATGTGTCGAACATACCCGACATTCTCACCGTCAAAACACGATCGACAAACGATATTGAAAAGTCATTAAAACCCACCCTAAACCACAAACCACAAACCCTACCCTCTCCCCTTTATCAGATCAGCCGCCTTCTCCGCAACCGCACACATAGTCGCCTGCAAATGCGCCGCCAGAATCATCGACACAATACTCACATTCACTACACTCAACCACTGCACTCCATACACCAACAACTCATCACTAACACAGCCTCCCAGCTCCTCAGGCATCATACTACACCCACCACTCGGATGCGCAAACGACGGTTGTAACGACCCCAACCTTACACTTCCCTGAATAATCTCTTCGTCCGTCTGATACTGCGGCCCTGGGCTAGTTTCAACGGGGCTGTAAGGAGCAAGTGCCGGTGAGGATGCCCAGTGAGTGCGGTTAAATCGCGCGAGCGCTACCATGATGTCTGTGTCAATGGGGTTCTCGAAGGTGTTCCATTGGACAATGGGGGTAGGCGGCGGGATGCGTAGTATTTAGTGTGATGGTACCGCGAGAGAGGGGCTTGTTGTTTGCGATGCTGGAGAGGCCGCCGGGTTGAATTACGATTTCGCCGACGGCGGCGGTGGTGCAGGAGAATTGGGTGGCGAGGATGGCGCGCTGGGCGGTGAAGCCGGCGAGGAGTTAGGTGTTGGTGGAGTAGCGTTTGGGGAGGAAGTGTGTGGCTATCTGGGAATGGAATTTTGAGACTGTGGCGTTGAAGGACGGGGAGAAGTGTTGGAGGGCGAGGAAGATTAAGCCGTTTGATTTGCCGGTGGAATAGGGACCAGTGCGTGACTTTGAGTACTCGGCGTATGTTGTCTGGTTGAAAGTCGTGTTGGTGTTGAGGGCGCCCATGCTCTCTGCGTTTAGGTTTTGCAGATCGAAATTCATGTAGTTGGCAATGTGGTCTTGGAAGTTGGAGCTAACGGCTGGGAGGTCCTGTAGCATTCAAATGTCAGACTCGAAGTATACAGGATACCATTTGCATAGTTTACATTCTTTACAGCGACACCAGCGGCCTCGAGTACATCTTTGGGGCCAATACTAGAGTACATGAGTAAGTGTGGTGTGAATACACCTCCAGTGGCGAGAATGACTTCTTTGGCTGCGAAAACTTAGGCTTGCTCGTTGGTACTTTTGGCGTGTACTTGACTCCAGTCGCTGTCAAGACACCAGCTCTGTCCTTTGAGAAAGTGATTTCATCAACATGGGTTTCCGTCATTAGCTTGAAGTCCTTACGCGACACGATGGGATCATAGTACGCTGTACGTGCGGTAGACCGTGTAGCCGTGGCTTTATCAATCGAGTTTGGCGACCAATAATGACTAATAGGCTCCAAGAAACCTTCCTGCGGATGAGGAATATCAACATTATCCCACGAATGGTGTATAGTCTTTATATCAGGAAGTTGGTAGTCCGGAATAGAAACCTTGAGCGGGCCGTTTCCATAAGCCTTCGCATCATGCTCGATGGCAAATTCCTCGGTAGTTTCATTCGATGGTGCGTCGAAGTGATTGTTTTTCATAAAGTACGACTTTAGGTCCTGCCAGTCTCAGCCTTTGTTTCCCAACTCCGCCCAAGCATCGTAGTCGGCATCGGCGCCACGATCGAATTACATGCCGTTTACAAATGACCCGCCACCTACGACGTTACCGACTGTTACCAGAAATGTTCAATTGCCGAGAGCTAGGACTGGAGCGCTGTAGATGTCGTACATGGCTGCAAGGTTTAAGCCACCTGAATTGCCGGGGATTCTGGAGAGGGTGCTGTTGCTGAGAGCGCCATTTTCGATGACTAATACTGTCTATGCGGGTAGAGTTTTCAGTGCCGATGTTTACGAAATGATGTTATGACTGATAGCGACTTACTGTTCTGATCTTCGCTGAGCCTGTTTACAACGACTAAGCTTGTTGTGCCACCTCCAACGATGACATAATCATATGTGGTTTCGCTTGTGGTAACTGCTGATACAGCCAGCTCAAATAGCGAGAGAATCACGAAAGAATGCATTTCGAGTCGGACAATTGTATCGTTCGCCTACGAATCAACAAACACCTAGGACTTAGCGACTGGCTCATGGCAGGAAGCGTGGTATATCTATTCGGTCACCTCGGTACTATTAAGCTAATTTGTCCCTCCAGATCCTAAACTTCCTGGGCTGCGTACCCTGCGCAATACTCGCTGCAAAAGGCGGCCAAGGCCGTCTGATGGCAGATTCATGGTGGCTTGTAACAGAACGTACATCGCACGAACTACATATGATTTTCACTACGCAGTGTCTCAATGTCTACGCAATGTTCCTTGTCAAGGCATGCATTTGTGCTTACTTGATGGCATTGGATTTTGGACGTAACTATCGCATCCTCATATGGACATCTGTTGTTATCGTGGCGCTGTGCAACTTTGTCATGATGCTTATGTTGCACTTTGTATACTGTCGGCCTTACTACTCACGGTAGGATTCTAGTGTGGAGGGAGAGTGCTGCCCAGAAGCAGTCAGTGATGCAACGGCTTATGTGCCGATTACATCCAATATCATCGCCGATTTAGTGAGTAGAATACACATGTACTTCAAGATTGAGTCTAACGACTATTAGATCTATACTGCTGCACCTATCGTTTACCTAAGACATATCCAGCTCAGCAAGCAGACGCAATGGGGCGTCCGAATTGTTTTCCTCCTGGGACTGGTGTAATTGCCCAATACAAAATAATGTACGGCACGCAAGCTCACACATCACGCCAGTGGCACCGGGCTTTCCGTTGCCAAAATCCCCATCACAGCCAAGTTTCTCAAGTCACAAGAAATGATGTGGGGTGCCATGGATCTAAGTATTTGCAGCATTAATGAGGTCTGCGTCGGCATCATCGTCGCAAATCTTCCGTCTCTGCGAAACACTATCCTAAATCTATTCTCTGAAAGCATCCCAGTGAGCTCTTCCACAGCCATGCGTGTCTCACAGAAACCCACTAGCCATTTTGATATTGTCTCTTCACACTATGCTTCCAAGGGCCACACAAAGTTGCAAGATGACGAGGACGAAAGCGAACGCTGCATCCTAGAGTTAGGAGAGAGACGGCAAAATTGGAGTATTATGAAGACCACTCGAGTGGATGTTCGCAACGAAGGTGCAACATCATGCCAAATAAGTCCTGCCCAAAAACCTTTTTAGGCCGATGACAAAAACAATGTCAGCATAACATGGCAAAGCAAACGAGTTGAATAGAAAAAAATCTCATTATTCTAAAATCGAACCCTCATTAAAATCATCACCCAGCCTAACCGGGAAACGCCCTAAAATGCCTTCAAAACACCATCCTCACCCTCACAAAAGCGCACCACCCAGCGCCGAAACAATCACCATCCCCAGCATCCCTAGCCCAACCTTACTAACCCCAACCGCCGGCGCCGCCCCCTTCGAATCCCCAGTCGCACTCGCCCCGCTCCCCGACGTGCGACTGGCACTAGCAGTCTTACTCGGCGTCCCCGTCGCAGTAGCACTATTATTCGAATTGCACATAATATCGCCTGGCCTAGCTCCATTCTCCATAAAGCACGTCTGCAGCTCGCGAATCGTCTGCTCGACGCTCAGACAGTAGTATCCACATGCGCCGTTGAATTCCTCGACGGGAGCGGATTTGCAGCATTTGGAGAGGACGTCGGTGGTGTTGGAGGGCACGCCGCTGATGCTGCCGACGGCGCAAGCCGCATCGCCCGTCGGGAACTGGGTGAAGTCTGCTTGCCTGCAGGCTGCGCTGGAGCTGGCGCTTGGGGCGCTGGATGTGGCGGAGGGTGTGAGGGACATTTTTGCAACTAGGATTTCTGAGGGTGGTGTTAGTATCTTGTTGGGGTTTAAAGAGGCACAGTATGTCAGGACGCTACGTACAAGTTGTGTAGAAGGTATGTATGAGCGAATGAATGGTATGATATATAGAACTAGGTGGTGAGTGTTGTTTGTACTGCCGATATATAAAGGTCGGTGAAGAAGTAAATAATCAGGGACAGCCAGACGGTGAAGAAATATCCACAGAAAATACGAGCATGATATGACATTGGCCCACGTCACCTGAACCATTTCCACCGATACCGATTAGCTGTTGCCCGTCCAGCATTTGGGCGCAGCTGGTGATCTGAGGCTGGGAGGTGGCTTGCGAGTGGCTGGAGCCCCCCGCAGGGCTGCTTAGGGGCTCCGCATCGTCGGTTATTTTTGGCAGCTTATGACGGGTTGCCCGGGTAGCGGCTCTTCCACTCGATGCAAAACTCGCTAACATTGCTGGGAAACAGTAGACATTTACGAGACTCAGCGATAGACATAATGGAGCCGCTGTCTTCGTGTAGGTCGGTGGGTGGAATATGGCGAGCTTTTACGATAGCAACTGCTCGATGAGCGGGAAAGGCAGCTTGGCAGAAACGCAATATCACGAATCATGTCGGCAAAACCTATCCGATGTGAAGAGCGAAACAGAAGTTTTCTTGAAAATATATACAGTATTTACAAAGTTGTTCAGTATTTACAGTGGCATGGAATGGGTTTAAATCTACAACTTGGCCTTCTCGGCCTCAGTCGCAGCGTACATAAAGGCACCGGCACCCTTGCCGTCATTGACCAGCTTCTCAACACCGGTGTAGTATTCGTACGAGGCATCGCCCTTCAAGCTTCCAACTGTCACGGTGCCCGTGAAGCTCAATGTGCCGTTCTTTTCGAACTGGATGAAATCACTCAGCAACAGTTTCCAGGCCTTGGTAGCCGGCTGCTTGTACTCCTTGCCCAAGAGTCCCAGCCTAATTCCCTTCAAGTATGAGTAAGTGAACATGGCAGTTGCACTCGACTCAATGTAGTTGCCCTCCCTTCCAGCAAGCTCTGGGTCCATAAGGAGGTACCATCCGCCCTTGGCGTCCTGGACCTTCTTGATGCCAGAGGCGAGCGTCTTGTAGTAGTTGAGGAGCTTGGAATAGCCGGCGTGGGTCTTGGGCCAGACCTCCAAGACCTCGACAAGCGCGACAAAGTACCATCCCAGAGCACGGTCCCATACGTAAGGGGAAGCACCTGTCTCAGGGTCTGCCCAGACAGTTGATTTGTCTTCGCTGTAGCCGTGGTAGAGAAGGTTGGTAGTTGAGTTGCGGCAGTGCTCCTCGATGAGATCGAATTGCAGCTCAATGTCGTTCCACGCGGTGATGTTTTGAGGCTCAAAGTAGGATGTGTAGGTTGCGTAAAAGGTATCAGCCATGTAGATACCGTCTAGCCACATCTGGTTTGCGTATACAGGGGCACGGTGCCAGAATCCTCCTTCGGGAGTACGAGGCCATCGGTTGAGCTGCTCACGAAGACCCTTGGCCGCGATGACGTATTTGTTGTCTTTGCGGCCTTCTGAGTTCCAGAAGTAGAGCATGTTGTTTCCAATACGGATGTCATCCAGAGTGTAGAATGTCGAGTTCCAGCCCTTGAGGGTACCGTCGGCTGAGACGATGGAAGACACGGCGTTGGAGGCATACTTCAGGAGGGCGCGGTCGTTCTGTGTGGTTGCAGCCTTCTGGATGCCTTCGTGGATGACTGCGGCGACGTAATGATTGTCAATGTTCTGGCTCTTCGACAAGAAAGATGAAGCCATCCATGTAGACCATGGCTTGCTCAGATTGGGGCCAGCAGTCGTACTGCTACCCAATAGCAAGGAGGTCAAAGCTGGGAGATGCATGGTGGCAAGCCGGTAAATCTTATTAGATAAAAATTATAGAATGGAGTCACGGATCTTGGTGAAGCAAGAGGGAAACCCGCGGGTACTGGGACTAGTTCCGAGCCATCATATCCTTATATACACCACCCATTGCTATCGTAGTAGTTGCTCCCTTTGCTTGAAATTCCGGCACTAGCGCAGCCATCATGAAATTAATCTATGCGGGCCCCGCCCAACGGGGCCAAGGTGAACGGACATCCCCATCATAGTTATTTCACCCCCCAATGAGATAGGGGCACTCTCTAGCGCAGCACTATGTATAGCTAGATAGGATAGATCTGTAATATCCATTCTACCTAATCTACCTAGCGCTGTAATTTAACCCTTCATTCCATTCTCTATTCTTATTCTTCTCTCGCTCTCACCTCTCACCTCCTTCTCTTTCTTCTTTCTTCTTTTTCTTCTTGTCTCTACACTTATATCTCGAAAATCAAAATTAGAGTAGTAAAAGGAAAGAGATAATAGAGAGAGGAAAAAAAGAGAGCGGTAGCGGCAGAGATGGAGAGAGGCGAATCTTCTCTTTCTTTCTCTTTTGCCCTACTCATGTAAAATAAGACAAATATAGTTAGAGACTATACTAAGCATGGGGGCCTTGCTTGTGGGGGGGGGCCAAATAACTGTTATGGACATGTCCGTTCACCTTTGCCGCTCAACGGTGGCACAGCTTCGATCCTTCTATCTGAATGGGCCACTGAAGACTCTGGACGAAGAGCTTTGTCCATGGTGGGCGGAACCGGCAAGGGACGGGTGGGGGTCGCCTCTTGGCAGCGGAGAAATTGGTGATTGGAAAAGTTTTTGTGGAGACTGCGGCCCGGAAACAACATTCTTTCGACCACCCGAGAGCCCAGAACATACTGACACAAGTCGTTTTTACCGCATTTGTATTATTGGATTGTAGGGATTGTGGTGTGAGAAAATATTGATGGTGCAGTTTGAAATCAGGAGAACAGTGCAGGAAGGGGTTTGTGAGAGAACAGCAAATTAATGCGCCTGCCGCTAGTGTAATCAAGCTTACCAAGATCGCGGCCTTATTCCTTGAACAGCCTTGACTTTGCCGTAGTTCATCACAGCTACTACATGCTCGAGCGTTGCGCCCTGACCAGTAATTTGAATGACCAGACTTATGGCTCCCCGATCTCTGGGTAATAAGTGTGGTAATATATGAAGGCGTTAGTACTCCGCACCCCAGCTTGCACCTCTAAGACCGTCGGTGACATCTTCACTCCTCTAGTATACACGCAGAAAACCCAATATTTACCAAATGCTGACAGAACACTAGTGGCTATGGATGAGAAACTCGGAGATATTGAGATGAACAGGACCTGCCAGCCAAGACAGGAGACGAGTCAGTGGTACGCCGAGTAAACGCCTTCCAAGGGGGTGCCTTAAGGCTGTTTCTAAACCCTCGTGTCTTTCAGAACAGCATGCTGCTGGTTAGAGATGATGATAAACACCGGTAAGTAGTTTATCGGGTGAAGTGTGTGATAGTAAGCGCCAGGGACTTTTAAAATGCCAAGGCGCTAGACCAAAAAGGCAGATACTCTAAAGTATATCTTCACGTGTAGCTTAACCGTGGTCAGATCGAAGCTTTATCTGGATAGCAACAAAAATAGCTAGGATACCTAGTCCTCTATACGGGAACTTGATAAACAACATCTATCATCGTCCCCTCCAGCATGCGAACCCGAAAAAACGCTCCAGGAAAGTAGCATCATGCATCATCGCCTACTGACCTAACTTGCTTACTCTTAGCAACACACCATACTAACCACTCTCTTCCCACCCCCCCCCCTCTCCAAAAAAATTCACCCCAAACACTCCTATCCATTCATCTTCTACAACTCAATCCCTCTAAACAGGCAAACTCGCACACCAAAACTCCGTCTTACACACCGTCGTCTCCTCACCCAACAACCCACCCACAAACCTAAATGTCGCTTCCCCATCCCTAAAGCACGCATACTCCTCTTTTCCCCCTGCTACGGCGCTAGTCTCCAACGTCGCATACCCCGCAAGTTCGCTCTTGGGAAGCGCATCCGCGCCTCGCTCGATTCTGCTCTCGAACACGCCGGCGCCGTCGAGCGTAACGCGGCGCGTGAAGCCCGCCCATTGGATAGCGCGGGCGGAGGCGATGGTGCCGATGGCGACGGGAGAGGTGGTGGAGGGTGTGCCGGCGTAGAGGATGGCAGAGGAAGAGGTTTCGTCTGTGAGGATGGAGCGGGTGGTGCAGGTGGTGAGGAAGATGTTGTTTTTCGAGCTGAGGAGGGTGGGGTTGGGGAGGGGGATGCTGAGAGTTAGGATTGCGTAGGATAGAGTGAGTAAACCACTCTGTGGAGAGAGGATGTGCATCTTGGCTGTTACTGGTGTGATGTGGAGACTGAGATGCCTTATTATGGGTATTCTCTCTTCGAGTTGACTAGGGTGTAGTGATGAGTGATATCTCGATTTGATTATTGATCTTCAGTGCTCCTGTACGATTCTCACGGTACAGCTGCAAACCGGAAAACAAGTCTTATTTCAACTTCTTCTTACCCTCAGCTTCCCCTCTCTCCCACTCCCAATTCACCCCTCACCTAACCAACCTCCCAAAATTAGCAACATACCCGCATGTACCTGTTCATCTATCCCAAATAGCCTACAGACTTACATTCGACACCCGTTTGTTGAGAAAACCCGGAAAGCAGCAGGCTGCATTGGGGGCCTTTGCTGCATACATATAGCCAGATGGCTATTGCATGTAATACGATAGATGGGTCCATATCCAACATCTTATATACCCGGTAATGTGGTACGGCTGTTGTTCGTAGAACACCCGATATCTCGGTAAGCTTATATTAAGCTTGTATTATGATCTGGCATCAGAAATGTATATTATGATCCAGCCAGGGGTATTTCAGCCGGCGGCTCGAACCCAGGTATGAGATTGATGACTGCTATAGCCACACTGGCTGCAGGTAGTTGTAGTCTAGAAGCCATTCACTCCTAGGGAAACAGCAGGAGAATGGTGACACTAAGAATTTTGGTGAAGCACAATGGTATTTTTGAAAGATTACTATATAAACACAACACGACAACCTTAGTTCAGCAAGCCAGCAGCAAGCGCCTCCATATCCTCCAATGTCTCGAGCTCCTCGACTCTGTGTGCAGTCTTCGCCTTCTTCCTCTTCTTCGCAACCTTTTCCTCGTCCTCGGAGTCAGATTGGAACCACTTCTTCTGCTTTTTGGGCGGCTCCTCTTGTTGTTCCTCCTCTGACACGTCCTTATCGTCATCACTATACTCTGCGTCTGCCCTAAAGTTCGCCAAGAGGTCTTCGCCAGGATCTGGAAGTACGACTCCTGCATCGCTTGCATCGTCATCAGCATTGACCATCTCAGCCCTTTCCCTCTCTTTGCGTTTCCGCAACTTTTCTTTCCTCTTTGCCTTGGCAGTCGCTTTGTCTTCGATATCGGCATTTTGGACTTCTTCGCGTGCGGCCTCGATGAACTTCTGTCGTTGCTCTTCTGGCAAGCCCTTGGCGCGGAATTGCTCTTCGTTTTCGAGTTCGTAAACTTCGTGCGGGTTACCTTCGTCGTCGTAAATGAGCTTCTTGCCTTTGTCCATAAGCTTAGTGAGCTTCTTCTTGGATTGAAGAAGTTTCTCTCGGCGATGGCTGTCAATGACGATGGGTTGCGATGCGCCGGCAATGTGGACAACACGACCGCCCACAGGAAGCATGGGGTCATGGTCAGTGTTAAGGTCCTCGGGTTCGTCATCTGCTGGAATCCGTCGTTTAACAGCCATGAAGTCGTCGTCTCCGTTGGTCGCCGCTCCAGCTCCACTAAACTCGTCTGCCTGCGCCTCTTCGTCTTCGTTCCTAACAAGTTTCTGGTAATGCTCTGCGAGGACATCCTGGTTCTTGCGCTCGAACATACGGTCATACTTAGTTCGCACAGGCTTGTCTGTCTTCGTGACTTCTTCGGCATCTGATGAATCAGAGACTTCAATAGTCTGCCTCGATGCTTGTTTCTTCTGCTTGCTGTCGTCGTCTTTCAAGAACTTAATCCTTGGTGTTCCTGGGAGACCCAGACTCGCCGCGTATGCTTCGAGATTATACTCCTTCAGCTTGAAGACTTCCTTATCTTTTTGTAGATAGATAGACTTGACATGCGTCATGAAGGCCTTTTGCCCCAGATACTTCAAGGCAGGGTCCTGGAAGCACATGTTCTGCAACTGATCCTTGATTGACTGGCGCTTCTTTTGTCGCACATTGATCATCTCGATGGGCACTTTCTTAGCTTCGAGACGCTTCAACATGCCCTCTTCTTCACTGGGTGCTAAGAAGAGAACACCACGTCCTTCTCGGTTGTATCGCGCTGTTCGACCGACTCGGTGAATATACGTGTCAACATCATCAGGGCAGTCGACCTGTATGACAAAGTCGACAGCAGGAAAATCGAGACCTCGAGCTGCAACATCAGTTGCAAAGAGGCAAGAGTGTTTGGCAGAGGAAAATTTGGCGGTTGTGTCTAATCGAGCACCTTGTTTCTGGCGACCATGAATGTGTAACAGCGGAATACCAGGCTGCATGTGACGAAAGGACTCGTAGACAAATCGAACAGTCTTGGCAGACGAGAAGAAGCAGAGAATCTTGGACTTCTTGCTCGACTGAATAAAACTCCACAGTGTATCCAGCTTCTCCTCCAGAGGGCAGATGATATAGTTTTGTGTGAGTCCCTTGGGTGTTGCGGTCTTGTCCTCAGCATGAACCGATACGTATTCGGGGTCCTGGAGACTCAAACGTGCAAGGTCCGACACCTTCTTAGACTGTGTAGCGGAGAAGAGGAGTGTTTGCCTCTCCTTTGGCAGGTACTCGATGATTGCATCCACGTCCCGCTGGAAACCCATGTCAAGAATCCTATCTGCCTCATCCAGCACCAGCATCTTGAGGTCGTCAACATTGAAAGCGGCTGTTTGCGACAAATGTTGTAGCATTCTTCCCGGTGTTGCGACAAGTATGTTCATCTTTGTCAGAGCCTCCCTCTCGGCTTGCAAACTCTTGCCTCCAATAAGAAGACCTGCAGCAAACATATGGCCATGTCTTCCAATCTTGCGAAGGACATCGAATATCTGAATGGCGAGTTCTCGAGTCGGCGATAGAATCAAAGCGCCTAAGCCTGCGTCCGGCCCAACATGCTGCAACCGGTAAAGGTTCTCCAGGACAGGAATGATGAAAGAAAGTGTCTTTCCACTTCCAGTCTTTGCGGCGCCAAGTATATCGTGGCCCTTGAGCGCAAGCGGAATCGCCTTGGCCTGGATGTCGGTCATAACTGCAAAGTGTGCAGACTTGAGGCCTTGTTTGGTCGGGTCGGAGAGCGGCAGGTCGGTGAAGTCTTTATAAGAGCTTTGCTTGGGGTCCTGTATCTACAGTCAGTCTCATGCGCCCTGTGAAATTGCGATGTTTTCACAAGCCTACCAGGTCCTGAACTGCCTGCTCCAGCTTCTCCACATCCACATCGTCGCGCTTCCGTTTCTGGACATTTTCACGCTTCTTGACCTTTGTAGGTCTTGTGCGACCGGTAATCTCTGGTGCGGCCATTCTGGCGCTGAACGCTTTTCTCGGGCAATTTGGTGTTTGAGACTTCCGCGTCGCATCTCAAGAGAACTTTTTGGTGGAGCACTTTTGGTGGTCTGTGCGCTTCGCCGCGGGGATTGCTGTGGCTGGCCATCATAGCTGCGACACTCACCTTCACCTTTCATCTTTCTCCCAAGGAAGACCAAGCATAGCGCCAATAATCGCGCCTACACTTGATACCCTCACTAACACTTACTCTGACGGACTGACGGTGTCTGAAATCTCTACATTCTACGTGCAAGCTATCTCACGTCAACATGGCGGACATCGATGCTGAGCTGGCAGGCATCGGCAAGGAGCTCGACAAGGACGCAGAGATTGATCGCATCCGCAGCGTCTTCAGCCTCGATGCCTACGCTGTCCTAGACCTCCAACCCGGTGTCCCCGAATCCGACATCAAAAAAGTCTATCGCGCAAAGTCCCTCCTCATCCATCCGGACAAGACCAAGAACGAGCTCGCCCCCGACGCCTTCGATCGCCTCAAGAAAGCCCAGACGGTGCTGCTCGACGAGAAGCTGCGCGCGGAGCTCGACGAAAACATTGCCGATGCGCGCATGCTACTCATGCGCGAGAAGAAGCTCACAGCCGACGACGAGGAAACACGTAGTGAAGAGTTTGCCAAGGAGTGGCGGCAGAAAACTATCTGGGTTATACGAGAGAATGAACTAAGGAAGCAGAGGCAGATGAAGGCAGCGATGCGCGAGGAGGGCAGGGCACAGCGCAAAGAGGAGGAAGAAGCCAAGGAGCGCAAGCGCAAGAGAGAGCAAGACGAGGCGTGGGAGAAGACACGGGACACAAGAATCAATAGCTGGCGCGACTTTCAGCAGGGCAAGAAACCAGATGCTTCTGCCGATGGTGGTGTAAAGAAGAAGAAAAAGAAGGTCAAGGCCTTAGGTTAAGCTTATCGCCTCCTTACCATAGATCTGGGATTTCTTCACCATACCTTACCATTTGCCGGAAGAAAGCCAGAAAACACACATGGCCACTATCTCAAAAAAAAGTATCCGCCGTGTATTCTGCGCTCCCTCCAAGCACCCAAGCTAGTCATGTCTCTTCTCGATACCCAACATACTTAGTTTACTTCCCCCCCCTTTACTTACGTCCCTGCATACAATACATACATAACTAGTAATACCAAGTAGCCACACACTCAATATGTATCTCCGAACCCTACCTTCCTACATACATACACCAACGCAACGCCCAGCCTAAGCATAGCCTAGCCCAATCACATCCCTAATTGCCAGTCAGACCAAAACTCACGGACTCCCCTCCGCTGTTCTTAGTAGGTCGGCGAGTGCCCTCCGTAGCAGTAGCGCAATTACCCACATCCCCCCAAGTTGCGTTCGTCATGTCCCGCCGATCCCGTTTAGAGTTTTGAACACCTGTTTCAAGGTTTGAGCTAAGGGAGCCAAGCGCAGGTTAGGGCATGCATATGTCGGACGTCAGGTCATCAAATTTTTTTGTCTTGAACGGGGGCACGGAGAAAGGATAAGTGCTGTTTTTTTGTCTTGTTCCTTTTGCCCGTTTGGTTTATCCGGCGGCGGTGTGGGCGGTGAAAGCTTGTCTAAATTCCAGACGGATTTGGCTAATCGAAGCGTGAGCGAGATGGAATCAGTGATGTAAAAGGGGAAGGACAGCGGATTAGTGTGTGTTTAGTAAATGTGTGGGTTATCGGTGTATGTCAATGAAGTTTTCGTTAAAATATGCAATCCAAGTATTCATGTAGCTAGCTCTACATCTGTATGACATTTCTCCATAAACCTTAAATTCCCATCATAGCGAGAGAAAAATCAGGAGAGAAAATGGTAAAAAAAAGGGTATATCCTCCTTTCTTAGCCTCCTTTAGTCGCGAAATAAAAAGAGCCTAGCAGTCCGCCTCATTCGTACGATGTTCGTGGCAAACGCGCCCCTCGTATTGTATCCACACAACGGTGTGAATAAGTGAAATGCTTGAATAATAGTTTCGTTTTTGGTTGAAATTGGCCCCCCGGGGCTGACCGGAACTTAGGGGGATGAAGAAGAGAAGTAAGATGAGAAGTAGGAGGAGAGAAAAAATAGGAATTCATGGTATCTTTAAGGTAGAATGGTTTGTTGCAAGCTCAACAAAGGACATGGTGACAACTAAGGAAAAGCGAGAGGTAAAGAGAACAGCAGAGAAAAAAATGCCGAGGCAAGAAGCATGTGAAGAAAGACGCCGGAATCATGCAAGATCGTACTGATTTTCCAAAATGCAAAAAAGGCAAGGAAAAGAAGAACAGAACCTGAAGTGAAGTAGAAGAAAAAAAACATCCCAACGAGTTGAATCATTCCCCGTTTCCATCATGTGCATGCGTTCCACTGTTTTCTGTAACACAGACGTAACGAGACAATTCAAAGGAGAAGGATACCCGACCAGCAGGTAAATCAACCCTCCATGTCCTTGTGAGTGCTTCCCTAACTCTTCTTTTCTTATTCCAGCATCTGTTGAATATCCAATCGCCTCCGCTTCACCGTCTCAGGAGACTCAAGCCTCCGCTGCTCGGCACCACTCGCCAGCGACTCCAATGGTCTAGCACGCTCGTGTTCTGCTGTTGCTGTAGCACTCGTACTCATTGCTTCAATGTGCAGTGGTGAGCCGAGGGGCGAGGGTGCCGTTCGAATGGGCGGAAGGTGTAGGCCCTCGAGACGTACAGGACGGTTCAGTTCGCGGAAGGGTTGCTGTGAAGACGACGTGGGCGGTCGAGTGGTGGATCCGTAGGGCGAGGGGTATGTATTTGTGCTGGGTTGGACGGGAAGCTGGTAGGTGGACAAGTATCCAGTGTCTGCGCCTGTGCCTGCGGTGGGTGAGTAGCCATAAGATGGACTGCTACTGTAGGAGCCGGGGCTTATCATAGGCAAGGACGTTCGGACAGCTGAGAGATTGTAGTACGGTGAGCTTGGCCCGGAGCTGGTTGAAGATGGTCGACGGGACTGGTGCGGCGTGAGGTATGATACTGGTGCGTTGTTTAACGCAGATGTTGTCTGGGGTGCGTTGTTTGGTGTGGGGGGAGCAAGCTGCTGAGTGAGTAGGTTTGGGGCTGCGAGCCTTGGTGGTGATATCACAACCAGCGTCACAAAGTATAGTGTGGTCTTCGCAAGCCGGATTTGGACTTGAAGTGACTGATATGGCTCTGCACCTGAGGCGCGGAAGCTGAGGTAGATTGGCCTGTTGGTGAAGCCCTGGGTGAAGTGGTCAATGTCTTGATCTGCTACAGCGTCCATTATTGATCGCATGGGATCCTGCCCCACAGGAGTTATGGGTGCCATGTATGCCGGCTCACGTTCATCGCGCTCATCGCGTAGTTCGTTACGCAATCGCTGGAGACTTTCGTTTTGCCTGGGCTCCAGCAGATCGCCAAGATGCTTACCCTGGATGTCTCCCAAAAAGGATACCAATTCCGCAAAGGCATGATTTGTTTTTTGTATCATCAGGTCCAAGCTCAGGTATGCAACTGGAAGCTTGTGGTATGCCAGGCTTGCTCCCGTGCTATAGGGGAGAGGTAGTGGTCCGCCGGTTGCGTCTCTCGTCGCAGATACCGGTAAGGGAAGGCTGGCGTTTGGGAGATCTCGCTGGTGCGCAGCGCCCCCAAACATGCGCTGGGAATCAGGGGCTCGGGGTAGAAGAGACCCTGGATATGTCGAATGATGAACAAGAGTTTCTGAAGGTGGAGCACCCAACAGTTGACTGTTCGGTCTACCTTCTTCCATTCTTGCAAATTCTCTGTCGTCCCTGAGTCGCGGCCGCCCTCTCTTCTTGTGTTGTACATCCTTGCATGTCTCCTATTTCCCAAAATTAGCATCGTCAGGAACAGGCTTACAGGTCTAATGACTTTACAAGGGTAACTAACCTGTTTACCAGAAGCCACACAGCGACCACAAGGACGCTGAACATCACAACTGAGATGTGCCTTCTTGCAGTTGACACAGGCTGACGCCACATGTGCTTTGGTTCTTCTGGCTGGCTTAGATGGCCTCGCTGGTGGGGGTGCAATCATCGCAGTTGGCTGAACCATAGGTCCTTGGTGTTGCATTCCAGCATAAGGTGGCAAAGAGTTGGTTTGGTAGCCATATCCATAGGGTTGAGGAATAGATTGTCCATAAGGTTGATGTTGGAGTGGACGTCCAGGTTGGTAAGAGAGAGCCTGGCCCCTGGACTGGGATTCCCCAGGGTATAGTGGTCGCTGCGGAGGAAGTACGTGTGTTGCCATTGATGAACGTGGATCGTATATTGAGGGTGGCGCAGGAGGTTGAACAAAGCTATCCTGTCGTTGAGACGATCCTATAGGCTGGGAATAAGAGAGGCGCGCTGATTCAACAGACTGTGCTGGTCGACGAGCTGGGGATTGAGGTTCTGACATGGGCGGGGATGGGTAATCCTGATGCGCAGACCTGTGAGGGCTGAATTTCGCCCGAAATTTGGACAGGCTGTCTTCAGCTTCCGCCGGCCGCCCAAATGGCGTAGAAAGGAGTGAGTTCGGACCGGGTAGAACCAGGCTCTGCATAGTTTTACCGCTATGCGCTCAAACGCCGCGTCAGCAGCGGGAGCTCAACGGTGTGTGGAGGTACAGGTGGGCCAGAAAACCGCGCAGGTTTGGATACCGCGCTTCAGTTTTGCTACCCAAGGAAGAAGCAAAGGCACGGTAAAGTTGACCAGGAAGTCGGAGACAGTCTAGATGGTAGAGAAGGTAAGTTGATGCAGAAGATGAAAGGAGGTGAAGATGATGATGGAGGGTAGGGATCAACTACGTAAGGCTAAACAAGTGGCGAATGTACAACTGGGTACGTACGTACGGCCCTCGATGCCGAACAGGCGGCATGCCGTAAGCCAGCCGGCAACAAAAGATCAAGGCAATAGAATTAGGAAGAACAAGCGGGCTCTTGAAATTACCTTTTGTGACAGCAGTGTCGTGTAGGCCTGAACAGGCACAGAGTAGTAGTTGGGGTAGATAGTCGTAGGGAAGCAAGAGACGGCGGGGCCAGTGTTGGTGTTAGGTCTACTGAAGCTAACAGGGTAATGGGATGAGGAAGAGGAGAGGGGAGGCGATGGTTTTGACTCAGTGTGGAGCCAATGGGGGATTTGGGATGGCGAATCGTAAAAATATCAGAGCAGTCGTCTGCCCACTCGACGGAAATTCCCCAGTAATAACCACAATCAGTTATGGGGAATTCTTGCTAACAGATCTTTGCCAATCCCTGTCAAGTCGTGCATGAGGGGCTTCCCAAGAGACGGGGGCCACGCTGAGTTCCGGGCAACGGGAGCAGGGGATGATGCGTCTCGGGGACGACGACATGCTTCCCTCGTTCGGCTGATGGTTCTTCGACATTTTTGCTAGGCTGGGTGTCCCAGACGGCCGATGCACCCGCGGAAGCACCTATGCACGGCCATTAGTTGGTAGTGGGTGCATGGGCAAAGCGGGTTGGGGAGCCTTGTCAGAGGCCGCTCGATCCCCCTGCTTTCCGCACCGTCTGAGAGCCGGGGTGTGCTAACGGGATATGGCTCGCGCTTCTACACGCCATTGCACCATTGTTTTGCGGCCGCCCAGGCAAACTTTCAGTTGAAGCATGGCACAGGTCGAGGGGGGCCCTTGATGCGCGGCGTGCGCTTATGTGTGACCCAGTAATTGCCTTTGCTGGCTCGATTAGGCATATCCAGAGACCGAAAACGTTCGGCCCAGACAAGCATTAGGAACGGCAAAGGATGCAAGTCATTTCAGCCAGACGATCACGGGGTTTCAGGAGCCATGGGGTTAGCATTGCGAGCGCAAGCTCCATGGAGGACATTTGTGGCTCTCGATGACAGGCCCGCGGCTGTGGTGCACTACTGCTATGGCGACGCTTGTCGCTGTCAGTCGCGCGTCAGGACCCCTTCAGACCAACCACCACATGGATCGCCTCGCTCGCCTCTTCGCACCGACCGACGGTCGCAGCGGAAGTCCTCGCCTCGCGGCGGCTACTATGCATTGATTGCCGGGGAAAGCTTGCTCAGGGTCCCTAGCAGTGGGACGTACGATGTCAAAGTACATGTTGCGATAGCAATCATTAGTATGCTCTGAGGATGATGACGCAACATGCTTGGCGTCAACTCTATCACGGCCCATACAGGTTGGAAACACGACCACTGCTGCGATCGACGTCTTCGTGCGGATATGGCTGAGGCAGGGCGACGCCTTTTTGTATGGAAATTTCCGTCGTCACGTCGAGCGAGGTCCGACTTGCCCGCAAAAGCAATCCGTTCGTCATTAGGTTCTCAGCCCACGGCGACGTCCCTTCCTGCGGCAAGTCTGAACTCTTGTCGCATCTTGTGGGGCACGTAGCTTTGTCATGCGACACGCCATGCCCACCTAGCTGCATGGCGCCGGCGCTGTAAGCTTATGTATATGGTGCGGGTGATAGATCTGGCAGATGCAGTGTGCTCTGGGACAGCACGCGCGAGCAACGGTAAGCTGCATCCGAGGACATATCTATCTGCCCCTCGTACTTGGTGCCAGAAAAGCTTCTGCACAGCTGGGCATTGGGGTGGCCATGTGTGGAATGTTGTGTGCACTTGGCCAGTGACGGGTGCATAAGACGTCAAACAACGGACTCATTCACGCTTCAGGCGACCCTCTAATGCAGCCTGCAAAATCTAACACTGAACAGTCCTCAGTCCCAACCACCCCAGAATCACGCGCTAGGGGTGGCGTCCAATGCTCTTATGAAGCGACACATAGTGCCATGGGCAAAATGCGGTACAGGCATATCATATGTTCCATTATAGGCTTCGTGTTGCATGGGCATGGCACTGGGCACACAAAAAAACTCCGGTGGGTGAATCGATCGAAAGTTGGCGCCCGGTCGAAGATCTGCCTGCAAACTGCCCGAGCCAGGAGAGACGGCATTACGGGCAGCATGGCTTGTCGTGCTGGCGTGTGCGCAGTAGTGGCAGCATTGATGATGCGGGGCCGACGCCTAGGTCGAGGGCACGAGAAACATTGCAGATGAGAGGCCTCCTTGGCATGTGATGACCTCGTGTTTTTTTTCTCGACGGGAATGAGAAACACAAGACAGAGCGCTTCGCTGCTGCCGATGCCACAGAGAGAGAAGGACAAAAGGAATGGCAGCAGGAGCATTAGCGGCCACCTCGCTTGTCAACCGCGGCGACGCATTCAGAAGGTAGAACGGCGACTGCGGCAGGGCAAAGATTCCGCGCTGCAGTCCACAGTGGATGGGTGGATAGACTTGTTGACCCGTGGGACTCGACCTCGACACGGAGCTGCGGTTAGCTGAGCCGAGAGCTGTGAAGATCGGTGCCGTGGCTGGGATCTATACCGTGGCACTATCCCTGGATGAGCTTATCCATGAACGACCAACATATGTACTTGCACACACTTTACTTACAGCATCCATCATAAACTGTCGCCATGACAAATTCCGGATTGCCCTTGTCCCTACCCCAACACAACCTGCAGTGGTAGGGCACGGCACATGTACTCGCTTGAACAAGGGCAAAGCAAGCCCCCTCCCCCCCTCTGCACATCTTTACCCTGCTCTTAACGGAATGAGCCGAGATCCAAAACGCAGGGAGTATGAGTCAGGTCTGCAGGAGCGTTTCCTCCTCGCTCGTCGGGGGAAGGGGATGGCACCATCACTCGACTAGGGTGTTTTTTTTTACGGCCGAAAAGCGCATGCTTGTTTTGGGGATAAAACATGGCAACCTCCGCCAAGCGTGTGATTGGTGGTGGCGCCCCCCACCCGCGGAAAATATAACACCTATCCCAAGAAACCAACGCAGTGACCCTGAAGCTAGGCCGTCTATTTAGCCTTGTTCGACCATGACTGAGATCCAAAAATAATCTTAGATAGCGAAAGTGGTGTCGTTGGGAGCAGGCCCTATGTCGCCTATATAGATTGCTTTCACTTCTGAGTACCATTCGCCGGAGCTATGGCATCCGCATAACGGCCTGTCCAATGTCCCGGGACTGCTCGTCCTGCGGTGGCGGGCCCAGCCGCCGTGTTTGTGCGGTGATGATGACTGTTAAGAGCCCCGTCTACACGTTTCGCTGTTGGAACTATTTGCCTTGCAATGCGTATACGGCCCTCTGCCGGCCTTGCCATGCCCCATCTCGTGTTCCTACGAGCTCAGTATTGTGACAGGTTGGCGTCAACCGCATGGCGACGCCCCAAATATTGCGACAGAGTTGCGGGCGGGATCTACGAACCGGTGCTCAGGACACGTTGTGCCAAAGTAGCCTCTGCCAGGGGCCCTCGCCAGCCATGCTGTCCGTTCCCTCCTGGGGGCCCTTGCAGCCTCGCCCTCCCTTGCACCTGGGCGCGGGACCACTGTCGATTTGCGACTGGGTGCGGGCCGAGTTGGTCCAGTGCTGACCTCGGTGCGTCAATATGTTGTGTAATGTGTATACTATTCTCAAAGTTGATGGTCGCGTGGGTCTAGTGTAAGGATATGAGCATGTGTAGTTAGACATGCTCACACAGCATGTGCGGCTCATGGTTTGCCCCCAAGGCGCCCTGCAGCCAGCTCCTTACAATGCGTGTGTATGACAGGCAAACCCTGCAGACATCCGCTACTGACCCCCTTCGAGTCGACTCGTCAGGCCCGCAGCGGAGCGAGAAATTTCCGGTAATATGCTATATCAACAACCAAGCAGCCGTTTACCGAGATATGGAATGTGACTACGCTTGCAGCCACCCGACTAGAGCGGCAGTCTAGACTGCGCCGCCGTAAGAGAACCACGCCGCAGCCGTTGACCTGCGTGCCGACGTCTGGTGCGGGTGTTTAGTTTTGATTGAAAAGCGTCAAGCGTATTGCTGCGAAATTGGCCGACGGATTGGGGGCATGTCGAATATCAAAAAGCCGTTGAAGTACGGGGAGGCGTAGGAGTATTGTTGGTCGGCATCGCGTAGTTACAAAACCCCGAGGCCGAAGCCACGGCTCTCAGGCCACCCACACAGCGTGTAAGTGCAGTCAGCCGGCAGTAGCACTTGCTCGCAACCAAAGGAGAAGACAAAAAGCAATGGCAGCAGTAGCAGCAGTAGCAGCAGTACTAGTAGTAGTAGTAGTAGCAGCAGTAGCAGTGGTAGAGTAGTAGTAGCAGTAGTAGCAACAGTTGCAGCATCAGCAATAACAAATGTGGCGGCTTCTGGAAGAACGTCGGGTGAGCTGCCGCAGCGCAGGTGCAGGAGGATTCTAAGGCTATTGAGGCCTGGCGGCATTTACCCAGAATAAGGAATGGTGGTGTGCACCCTTGAGTTTCGTTGAGTGGAGAAGAAATATGTCGGCTCAAAGAAATCTCCTCGATGGTGGGATGACGTGCCTGCATAGCCCGATGTGGACGCGGCCCTCCCTCCCCTGGGAGCCCTGTCCCTGCTTCGGACCTTATTGAGGGTGGTGAGCTTGCAGGCAAGCCTTGACCCTAGGCGCGGAGCACATGCTATGGTGCAGGCGCCTGTCACTGTCATTTGTCTAGCGGATGTTTTGCACTATAGCCCTTACCCTGTAGAGTATGGAGTAGACCTACATGAATACATGCATACATACCACACGTAGTAGATATCGTCCGTTTGCGTCCTAATGGCCTGCAGTCACAAACTTAGCACCCCAAAACCCAAACACAAAAGTACTCAAGGGGGTCCAGGTCGCTGCCAATCGAGCCACGACTTGTTTTTGCAACCTTTATTTCTCGTCGACCACTGCGATGTGCGCAGATAGAAAAAGCCACTATTGAGTCCAATGCGCTCTGGCCGAGAGGGGCATGGTGCTCACCCACAATTTTGTTCCAGTACCCGATTAAGTTTCGCCAATCCGCACCCAGGTGGCACAGCAAAGCAACGACAGCCTCTGCAAATAAAAGCAACCATGACCTGACCTTGCCCATTACAACGGTCCTTTCTCGCACAATTAGCCCCTCTGGCCAATGGTGCAGCCACCTTCTTTGTTTTGCCTCGCCAGAGGGCCGGCCGACAAATCACATCCGACACTGTGCACCTCGGCCCGCAACCATGGTGGATCATCATCATGTTACACAGCAGCATCACTGACACGTGCCAACTCAACCCTCATCATTGTCGATTCATGCGTCCAGGCATAAGGCCCGTGTATTGATTCAACCACCTCAGTGTTTCCGCTTTTTCGACGGCCGCGCATTCTTTGCTCGCCGGTTCTCCTGTATTTTGCGGTTTTTGCGCACTGTATCCACATCCCGAAGCTCACTCTTGCCCTTTCCGTCCTTGAAGGCACCAATGCGCTTCTCCTGTGCTTCAGCCACCCGCTTCTTCTGCACATGATAATCGTCGCGGTATCGGTCAGCTTGCTTCGGTGCCTTTTCCGATTTGTGCTTGTACCGAGGTGCGTTGTTGAAAGATGCCGCTGGGCGGTTGGCGGATTCCATCTCGCCCACCCTCGGCATCTTGACCTTGTTTGCTTTGCGCCAGTCATCAAAACGACCGCTTCGGAAACTCGCCGCAATTTTTTGTCCACTTTCCCCGCGGATCATCTTGGCTCCTTTGGACCCGTCGTCGTCGTTGGTGCGGTTGACATACTTCTTCGACTTTTTGTCCCACCGCATCTTGGACTTGACGGCGTCTGCAAAACCTTGGATCTCGTCGTTGACCAGCGACATCTCTGCAGCTCTTGCTGCAGACACAAAGTTGGTGTTGCCAGCATCTCCACCGCTGACTCCATATGCCTTTTCTTCGGCCAGATTCTCCTTGGGAGTATACGACATGAAGTAGTCGTCATTCTTCCAGCTGTCTTGCTTAGACTTTTTCGAGGCCGGCTGTGACACTGACACTTCAAGCTCATCAGAGTCAGAATCATAGACACCCTCTGTAACCTCCACTTCATCCTCCGAGGACATATCTTCGTCATTTACTTCTCTTGAAGAAGCATGAATAGTGTCCAGCTCATCTTCACCTTTTTTGTTAGCCGCCTGTTTAGCTTTCTGACGCTCAACCTGCTCCCTTCTTTTGCGCATAATCTCAGCTGTTTCGCTATGGATGCCGCGTTTCCCAATTTCAAACACCGTTTCCGCAGGACGGAATGACTGGATCCTCGCAAGCATATCTTCTTTCTCTCTTTGAGCGGTGTGTGCGTCATTGCTAAAAAGCATGTGCGTTTCAGCAAAATTAGGAGACGCTGCTAGTTCTTTGGCGCGTACCACGCTCTGTGCGCTTGCCTGGTTGCGTGTGCGCTGGTACTGCCGCTCACCCTTTTCAGCAACACTCAGTAAAAGCGCCAAGTCCTCGTCCTCGCTGAGTTGTCTGTTGACTTGCTCCACGGAGCTTTCTACCTGCCACGGCGACAGGCTCCCAACAACAAAATCATCTGCATAATTAGGCTCGTCACTCGACCGCCCCAAAAGCAGGCGCTTGCCGAGAAAGAGCTGCAGATCTATAAGGTAGGGTAGGTCGACATGTCTGCATAGACTGTATGCCCAACCTTTTCTTCCCGCACGTGCTGTTCGTCCGACTCGATGGACAAAAATCTTGGGTTGCGACGGAAAGTCATAGTTTATGACATGGTTGATGTGAGGCATATCAACACCACGCGCAGCAACATCTGTGACAATAAGGATGCGGGTCAATCCAGTTCGGAAGTCTTGGATTTGCTCTTTTCGAGCAGTTTGATCGAGATTACCGTACACTGTAGAATATTAGTATAAATCAGAATAGAATACATCATCTCACTCACCATACGATATAGCATATCCCAGATTTCGAAGAAGGTTAGCCAGATACTCTACCCTGTGTTTCGTTGCAGCAAAGATGATGGTAGACTCTGCAACGGGAAGGTCTTTGACGAAGCCTTCACTACGCTTCCGCTTCTTGCCGGGCTTCTCGCTCTCTTCTCGGGCCTTCTTTGCGGCATCAGTCTCACCTACGGGGACTTTGATGACGCTATCCAGAAGGTACAGCAGAGCTCCATCTCGATCGCCCGACTTGATGGTAAAGTAAGCACTCTTGAGATCTGGCGAGATCTTACTTTCCGCATCCAGACGTATTAACTTGGGCTCTTGTAAGCCTGCTCGGGCAAACTCCACGAGTGACTTTGGCAGTGTGGCACTGAACAAGAGTGTCTGCCTCGAGGCGGGGAGGGCGTAAAGAATTTCCGAAAGTTGGGCAGCAAAACCCATTTCGAACAACCGATCGGCTTCGTCGAAAACAATGTACTTGACCGAGGAGAGGTCGAGGCCCATCTCAACCTTGAGATGCAAGAAACGTCCCGGAGTAGCAATGATGATGTCGGGGTTTGTGGTCATGGAGCTAAATTCTGCGGGATTATTAGTATGCATCACAATGGCTCAGTGACCATGTATACGTACGTTCTTCAAGACTGTCACCACCAACGAGCAAGATAGTTCGTAAATCGGTACCACGACCCAGCTCCTTGACTACCCTAAGTGTTTGCAACGCAAGTTCGCGAGAGGGCGACATGATAATTCCTCGCGCGCCCACTTTTGCGGAATGCGCCTTGAGCTTCTGGATCATAGGTATGACGAAAGCGGCCGTCTTTCCAGAACCGGTTCTGGCCATTCCCACCACATCCTCGCCCTGAAGCATAAGCGGCACTGCCTTGCGCTGAATCGGAGTCGGGACCTTGAAGCCCTTTTGTGTGATAGCTTTTAGAAGCGCCGCATTTAGGCCCATGGCTTGGAAACCTCCACCCTTCTTGACCGACTTGCCTACGTTCGAGGCTTTACGATTTGAAGCAGCCTGTTTCGCGGCGATGAAAGCCTCATCATCGGATCCATCGTCACTGCCAACGTCAAGATCCAAGCCGAGATCTGCGTTCAGGTCTGTCTCTTGCTGAATGTCATCACCGCCAGCTAGGGCATCGAAAATGTCGAACTCGGTTTCGGAGAGCGCCGGCGAGCTCGCGCGGGGGGCCATATTTGGCTGCTCGACTGTAGGGTTCCGGGACGACGGAGGCAAACTTTTGCTCTGCTTGATGTTAGAAAGTCGCGCGTAGAGTCGCTCTTGGGAAAATTTCGAGCACGGACCTTCCGAAATCTTGGCGGCAGGGATACTGTTGGAATAGCGCTCACGTGCCCCGCGATGAGGCAGGCGCGTCCGACGCGTTTTGCCTTGAGTAGGTTTGCTGCACACGGCGTCTCTCAACTTCAGTCAGCAGGATGAGTAGGTCCTGTATGTTCCAATGTTGCTAAGAATTCAGGCTAACCACTTCAGATTACAACAACTACGAAACCTCGTACACGTCCTATGGCGCTGGCGGCGGTGGTGGCGGAGGCGGCTTCATACCAGGAGAGGGCGGCAGTACGCAGAGTCCCGGTGGCCGGCAAAATCAGATCCAGGACTCAATACGCCCTGTTACCATCAAGCAGATTATAGACGCGCAAGGAGAGGCAGGAAGCAACGACACCTTCAAAATTGACGGCACAGTGATCAGCCAGGTACATAACAGCCCCCCGTTTGATATGTATGCTTCCGCTAACTTGTAGTCAGCTCACACTCGTCGGCCAAATACGCAACATATCTAACCAGACCACAAACACCACATATCGTCTCGATGACGGCACCGGTAGCATAGAGGTCAAGCAATGGGTCAATCCCGAGACAGTAGATCACAGCAGCCTCGCCAAGGCTAAGCTCGTCGAAGGCGCATACTGCAGGGCATGGGGCAAGCTAAAGAGCTTCAATGACCGCAAATCAGTCGGAGCGACAATCATCCGCCCAATTGAGGACATGAACGAAATCTCCTACCACTTGCTCGAAGCAACGGCCATCCATCTCTACTTTACGCGCGGTCCTCCTGGCCAGGCCGGCGGCGCCACAACCAATGAAGCAGGAAAACAACAAGCGATAGAGGGCGGATATGGCGGGGCCGAACTTGCAGGCTACTCTCAAGCTGCGAAGAGGGTCTTCAACTTTTTGAGAGAAGTTGAACAGTCGAACGAGGGCGTGAATCAGTATGAAATTGCCTCCAAGCTCGGCATCGACGCCGCAGACGTAGCAAAGGCGGGAGAGGATCTGTTGGCAGGTGGTCTGATATACACCACTCTTGACGACCAGACCTGGGCGATTCTCGATGCCGACTAAATAGGATATGAGGCTGTGATGAGTTACTAGGGAGAGTGGATAAAGCTACGACATTCCGCCAGGGGAGAATTCAGCAAAAGCATGCGATTTATGAGAGCACCTATGGCCTGTATTGAGAGTCAACCGTTACATCTCATGCGAACATGTAAAGAAATCCTACTTCTCTGCGTTTGTAGAGAGAAACAGCACACATGTTCCAATAATAGCACACGATACCACTGTGAATATAACCTGCGTCTTCCATCCTGTTTGCACCAGTGCCCGGCGCCGACTGTATCGTGAGATGGTATTGATGTAATTAGCCAGCCCCGCAGCCATACATGCCAAGGACAAGATCCAGAAGACAATACCCAATGGTAACGCAAAGCGTAGCTCTGTAGCGCGTGTTAGTGGGGATTTTCAGATGAAGATAGTCGTGTGCTAACCAAGTGGTGTTGGTTGTAACTTGAGATGGAACGACAGCACAATGGCCACCGACACGATAGCCATGTACACGCTTAGTTTGAGCCACGCAAGAAATGCTATCGGATCTGTTAACCATTCTGGCTCGTTTTCGACACAGACATTGATGGGAAACCCACTTCTCTCGTTGGCGGCATGATCCCGCGCATCCGAGGTGACGTTATCGAACAGTAGTACACCGCCCAACCACGGTGGTTCTTTGAAAGCCGTTCGGTCATAATTATTACTCCTACCGCACTAATCAGAACACAAAGTCCGGATACGAAAGGAAATATGGGGAAGAAGCACTGTTTAACTAAGATGGGTTTACTCCCAAAGATGTTGTAGAATGGTCGATACGGGTCGCGTAAGATGGACTCATCCGTAGCATCCATGCGCTCCATACTCCTGAAATCCATTATGTCTGAACAAAGTGCGATCGCACACACAACTCAAAATTGATGAACACGGCAAAACAAGTCCGGGGCGAGGAATGATGTTTGGACATGATAGTAATTCCGGTTGCTTATTTACCAGCACAGACCGGGCTCGGCATTAAGTAGCGGTAGGTACTAAGTACGTCAGTAGGACCGACCGATCATCTTTATTACCGTATCCACTCATTGATCCTTCCTTTGCACCTGAAATCTCCTTCCCATCAAAACAATCAACTTCACAATGGAAAAACAAAAAGAACTCACTCTTTTCGGTGGATGCGAGTATGTATACACCACCTCCCAAATGACATCATCGTATATAACTACATTGAACAACCCTCCCATGCTGACATAAACTTTTTCTTACCATCAAAAAAGAGGTTGGAACGCATCAGACTGGACAGCAAGCGACGACCGCGTTCGCGGCGGGGCTTCGCAATCCCATCTCAGCATCAGCGGCTCTACTGCACGTTTCCACGGCACCCTTGACACAAAAGCGCTCGGCGGTGCGGGATTCGCCAGCCAGCGCACCACGGGCGAGACCCGAGCCTGGGATTTGTCGGCCTATGATGGCATTTTCCTGGATATCGGCGAGCTCGATGGCAAAAAGTATACGCTGACGCTCAAGGATAAGCTTTTGCCGCCTATGGCGGATGGGCGCGAGCAGTCGTCGATTAACTTTGAGTATGATTTTGATTCAAAGAGTGGGATGGGGATTTTTGTGCCATGGCATGCGATGAAGGCGACGTATCGGGGAAGAGAGCAGAATGATACTAAGCCTTTGGATACGGAGAGTGTGAAACGGTTTAGTATTATGATTAGGAGGTAGGCCTTTGTGTTTTCTGCGACTTGTTCTGTGGCCTGTTTCCTGTCCTTTTTGCTGATGGGCGAAACAGTTTCTTCGGCTCCCAAGAGGGCGATTTTAATCTTGTCATCAACTCTATCAAGGCTGTCACGCAGTCTAGCGATGTTGAAAAGCACCTTGTTGGTAGAGGCATTCAGGTACGACTTTGATCACGCTCTCGATCTGGTTTCATGGCTAACACATTGCTCTGCTGCAGGAGCAAGAGCCATGGTCCTGGAAGAACTCGAATCTTGTTGGTCTCGCGGTCATCTTGGGATCCACCTGGGCTGTCTCTTGGGCCTATTGCTGGTGGAAGGGCTATGATATGAGTATCATGCGCTTTTCCAAATGGTGGTCCGTTGTAAGAAAATAGTAGGGCATTCCAACGGCCTGGTACGCACTGCATAGCACGTGGATTAAGTGTACGGCCTACCTTTATATGCTATGAAAAAATAATAATCTAAACTGGGTTATGTCTTTTTAATCCGGGTTTGCCAAAGGTCCAACACTGTGGCACAACTCTTGCGACCTGAACAAGTGTCGCTGTATAACCTCCAATACAGCAACAATGACACTACTTACTTCTCACACTTGTATTCGATAACGTGCGTGTCATTCCAGCCACATCTCCTATCATGCAAAAAATCGTATTCTATCGGACTGCAAAAAAAAACATACAATAGCGGGGATTCGCCAGTGGTCACCCACCTGACTACTAGTCCGCCGGTAAACTGCTTAAGTACGAATGATCTGACGGGGATTCCTGCTGCCAGCTTCCGATGGTCGTATGTGAAAGAATTTTATTTTTAAGAAATACATGTAGCAGACATATCGTAGTGGTGAAGGAGATGGCATGTTGAATTTGAGGATTTTTATCGCTATTCGGTGATACTGAGCTTACTTATAAACTGACTGTAAAAGAATACTCTTATACTAGGAGCAAATGGTTGTTTTTGTCAGCAAAGAACAAAGAGGTTAATGGAAAACCGGAGGTTACGGTAGGGATGTAAGTATCAGGTGTTGGAAGTAAATGGTCTGTGGACTAGCCCGGCAAAATTGAGCAAAGGCAGCTATTTAGTAATAATGCTACAGAAACTGATTTTAATTGCAAGCCAATATATTATTTTCTCATTTGGGTATGAAAGATAGTATTGCTCCAATAGAGGTTGCAAACCAAGTATGAGGTCTCACTGCATAGCGAAAACATACCTACACTTGAACCAAGTATGATAACCAGAAACCCCCATGTACCTGGCTTACCATTTTCGAGTCCACGATAAAAATCATCTCGAAACCTACATCTACCTGCAGAAAAATATACAGTTAGTATCAGCCCAACCTTCTCTTCCAAAAATCGCACGCTTACAAGCACAACATCATCCTACCTACATAAGTACATACTACCCCTAATCTGATCCTCCCACTTGTCAAACATTAACAACAGCCATGACGTTGTTTGCCAAGTTATCACACACAAAACACATTTCCATCACCAATCCCAGCAACCTGCACGCCCCCCCCCCATTCCGATGCTCATTCCGCATCCCCATCAACAAAATCTCTGTTGAGCACCTTACCTCCCAAAGGAAAAAAAAGCCCCCCTCCCAAAAAAAACATTACTACAGCCTTTCCCTCCCATCGCCGGCACGACCCGCCAGACCAACACCCTCCATTCAACAAAAAACCTTCCTCTCCTCCCCCCCTTCCCAATCTAGCCCGGCATAATCCTCCGATGCAAACCCATCCTTTGTTTTCCTACACTTCCTTCTTTCCACACAGCTAATTTCGTATCTTAGGAGCTAGACCGCTTACGAACAGGTAACTTATGGTCGAGTAATGAGATGAATGGGTGGTATGTACATATGTAGAAAGGTAAGTCCATATCGGCTTTCACTCACGCCCAGACGACTTTTTTTTCCCCCTTGACGCATGATTCACGAGGAGAAAAAATGGGGGTATATCCGGCTTTGAAGTGGTTTGTAGTGTTTGGTGGAGGATGAGAGGATGTGCCGATGTTGAGCTGTACGTGGTGCGTGCGTGCGTACGTACGTGTTGGATGCGCAAGTTGGTGTGACCCACCAAGTGCGCATGGCGCAGAGGCGCAGAAAGGTAAAATATGGGAATAAAAAAGCAACATCGGCTTTCTCTTTTCCCCCATCCCCATCCCCCGTCCCCCCCCCTTTTTTTTTCTATGCATGTTTTTTTTTGGTGTCAACGTCCCGTAACCTAGAGTACCTTGTCGCTAAATCTCCATGTTTTTTTACTTTTTATTTTTATTTTTCTTTTCATATCACTCGTAGCGTGTCAGCGTATCCCTAATGCAACTTCTCACCAAATCACCCCCATCTTTCCTTCTTCCCTCTTCTTCTCTGCTTTTCTTTCGCGATTTACAATTTACTTCTTCCGCACATGTACTTGCCTTTTGCGTTCCGCATGGTAGAGTACACATACGCATACGCACGGATGCATGTGCATGTGCGGGCGGAGGTGCGTAGTCTTGTAGCTGCAGAAAAAAAAAGAAGAAGAGTGCTTGGAAGAAGGAAATGAGGGAAATTTGGAGGAAAGAGCATGACAGAGTGATGATACACGTGGAAATCCGTAACCTCTCAAGGAAGGAGTGGATAAGGGGGGGGGCTGCTCGAACGAGTTGAAATCTCGTACTGAGTGCCGCGTATTCTTTTCGTTTTAAAACAAGGAACAAGGAACAAGGGGGATGTGCATGTTGATGTGGATGTTGTGACACGATCATTCCCAATCTTACTAGCAGTGAACACTGTGGAGTGTATGCAGGGGCAAGTGCTTACACTCATTGCTTATCCCATTCTCTCTTTTTTTTGGTCGTCTCGGCAAACATGCATGCGGACGGGATTATGAGGTAAACCAAACGCAGGAACGAGAGCAACAAGGGAACGAGAACGAGAATAGGTAAGAAAACGGTTGGGGTGGGCTCAAGAAAAAAAGCAAAAGCAAAAACACTCTCAGAATAATCTTATCCAATTGTGATTCATTATTTCCAATACCTCATATGTTTCTGACCTTGGTCAGACGTATATGCTAACTGCTTCCACATACACACACACGTGATTAATGAGCCGAGCTAAAAACCCAAAAGCTCTATCCAGAAACGACACAACAATGATAGAGATAGAGAGATAAGAGAAAAACAGGAAAATAGAGAGGAAATATACATTGAGACACAGACAAACAACAAAAAATGGTTCCAACGGAGAGATTTCGCCCAAATTGCTAAATGCGACAAAAAAGAGACGACGCTTTTAACTCCCTTCCATATGTTCCAACAAAACGCCTAGAAAACAACTCCAGACTCGTTACAGCCGAGAAAAAAAAACATCAAAGACGAGGTGGCGTATTAGATTATGTCACAGGAGATAGAGAGAGAGAGGAGCCTGAAAAAGCTCATGCCTTGAGAGAGATTCGGAGAGATAGAGATGGATGTGTGTGATGAAAATAAAACAAGACTGAGCAAAATAGTTTGGGTATAATGAGAATGTATTTTCGAGACGCGGCGGATGACAGAGAGAGACGTTACGCGCTCAATGCGAAATCATGCATTTTTTGGTTATTGTGCCCCGAAATCTCCCGGTCCTTGGTTGGCAAAGATGTAGCTTTTAGGTTGAGGTTCATTCGGCCGTCGCATAAAATTCCCTTGGGCAGGATTAGTGCCTTGAGGTGGGTTATACTGATGTACTAAAAAATCTGGCATGGCAGAGACTTGAGGCGCAAAAGGGACATTGTGATGAATACCGCTCAGTGAAAAGTCTTCATAGTTCATGTTCCCACCAGGCATATATTGTAGACTGCCGTCGTCGGGTTGGTTTTGCGTAGAGTCGGGTAACGAAGGTCTCCTGAAATGCGAGGGCTTGGGTTGTTGAATGGTAAGATCAGTAGTGGAACGAAAGCCTGCTCGTGTTTGGGGCGGCTGCGCATATGGTGTCCTGTGAAAATGTTGCTGAGTCGCTGGTGCTGATTGCGGTGGTGTGTCGCGATAAAGCGCGTCGTTGACGAAGCGAGATTGCAGGTCCATGGAGGATGAAGGCGGCGAGGTGGTCTTGGCAATGACGTTTCCAGCCTGATCCGACGACCAATTCGTGTGCATGCTCTCTGGACTGTTGTGATCAGGCATGGCCGAATGTGGCCTGATTACCGCTGCACCGCCCCAGTAATTGCCAAAATCCTGTGGAGTCAGCGGAGTTGGGGGTGCCAGACTGCCGCCTTGGCCTATGGTAGTGTTGCTCGAGGTGGAGAAAGTTCGCGCGAACTTTGGTGATGCTGCGGCCTCGGAGAAGCTCATGGCCATGGGAGAGCGCTGTGCTGAGCCGGGCTGTGACTTTTGTATACGACCTCCAGCATTTCCAATACCTGTTGAGCGAATCCTACGAATGACCTTGTCGTTGTTGCCTCCTGGTGAGGGCATGGGGGCAGAGTACGAGGCACTCCGCATTGCCGTCGAGCTGAGGTTGATTGGACGCTTCTGCCGCCTTGCAGCGATACTCGACGACTGGTCGGGAAGCGAGAACTCATCTGGGGTGGTATTCCTGATGTGTATCGCATCCATGTTAGTGGCGAGGTTGCTTGTGGAGGAATTTCTGCGACCAAAAGCATCTTCACGAAAGTGCATGGGGATGTCGAGATCAGAAGGCGCAGCACTGAGCCTCCGCGCGTGCTCTGGCGTGGTCATAATAGCATGTGAAGACGAGTTTAGCTGTTGGTAGAGACCGTGCTGCGCAAACATTTGGTTGGAGCCATCCTGAGGCCAGAAAGGAAGCGTCTGCTCCGAGGCGGATGCCTGGCCAAGGTTGTAGGGCGCGAACTGGTCCTCTGGTTCCTCGGCGTGTTTGGGTTGCGCCAGTTGGTTGGGGTCCTCCGTCCAGCCAGTGTAGACGGAATTCAACGAGGCAATGGAAGGGGGGGTGGGTCCATTTGGAGACTGTGTGGTGGCTGAAGACTGGGTGCCGTTATAGGGGGAAGCGCCTGATGAGATGGACCCTGTGCTTTGTTGAGCTTCTGGCGCGCTCGAGTTGCTGGTATCAGTAGCCGTCAGTGCGGAGTAGTCGACCTGGAAGTCGGCAAAGTTATCAAACTCGGGGTGCGAGGGCGCTAGGTCGCCAGACATGGGAGCAGACACGGTAAAGGCAAGGTCACTGGAGTAGGCACTGGACAGACCGGAGGTATCAAAGGTAAAGTCGGACTGTTGAACATCGGCAGGCAGGCCGCTCTCATGCATGTAGGCACCGTTGGTGGCAGCCATGATTGAGTTCATGAGGTCGTTGGGACGATAGGCTGGTGCGCGATCAACCTCTGGCATGCAACGGAACATGTCGTATTGCTGTTGTTGCTGGGGCTGCTGTTGTGGTTGGTGCTGGTGCTGATGCTGGTGCTGCTGGGGTGGTTGTTGGGGTTGCTGGTGCTGCTGCGACATGTGGGGGTTCAGGTCGAGAGCCGAGGGACCTTCGCCAATCTGGACGGGTATGGTTGCAGGACTGATGTCTGCTGTGGAATAAAAGTCTGGCTGCATGAGCATGTGGGGATTTTGCTGGTCCTGGGGATGGGGGTAGTGATTGGGCATGACAGGTGCGCGCTGGTGGGCAAAGGGCAGGTTCATGGTCATGTTGTATTGGTTCATGAGCTTCTTGCGGTCCTGCTTGACCTTTGCGCGGCGGTTCTGGAACCAGTTCTGCAGACATGTTAGCAAGGCTGGGGGGGAGGGCGTGGAGGAGGTGACGGGGCTACTCGCATTGATCTTGTCGAGAGGGACGCCAAGGCGGGTAGCGAATTCCTTCTTGACATTGGTGCTGGGCTTGTGTTGGGCGAGGAAGTGCTGCTCGAGGATGTCGTGCTGATCTTTGGTGAGGCGGGGCTTGACATCGCTGCCGGGCTGCTTCGGCGCGGGAGGTACGGTCGTCGAAACGGCGCCGCTGGGATCCATGTTGCCGCGTCCAGCGACAATGCAGCGCGAGCGGGCGGGATGGGGCGTCGCAGTGAGGGAAGGAGGAGGAGGAGGTGGTGGTGGTGGTGTTGGCGATGTTGGTGGTGGTGGTAGCAGTAGTAGTGACGGCGGTAGTAGTAGTAGTAGTAGTAGTCGTGGTGGTGGTGGTGATAGTAGTAATAGCAGCGATAGTCGTAGTAGTCGTAGTAGTGTTGGTGGTAGTAGTAGTAGCCGTAGCAGCAGTCGTGGGACTCAGGCGATAGGCAGGATAGGCAGGATAGGCAGGATGTGCGTAGAGCGGGCACGGATGCGCGGGCTGCACCAGACGACGGGGGGCCGATGGCAGACGAAGTAGCGAGCGACAATGACGACTAAGCGACGGGGGGAGAGAGGGGGGGCAGGGCGGCAATAGTGGATAGGCGCTATATCTACGGACGACGAGTTTGTGGAAACGAGAGTGTTCAGCGCAACGGCGCAGTAGAAGCAGGCAAAAAAGGGCACGAAGCGAGAGGCGGACGGGGAATGAAGGAGCCTGGCGGGTGGTGGGAGGGTGCTAGTAGGGTAGGGTAAGAGCTGTGGTGGGTGCTGGCTGGGGGTGCTGGTCGCTGGGCTGGGTCGCTGCATCCCTCGCTGGCTGGTCTCTCTGCCTGGTCTGGCTGGGCTGGCTGGCTCGCTCGGTGCTGGCGGCGGCGGGCGGCTGGCGGGTGCTTGGTTGGTCGGAGGTGCCAAACGTGCTCAGCCACTGAACCCCCCTCCCCCCCAGCGCATTGTGCCCGTCGACACCAAAATAACCAGCCCTCGCCGTGATTCGACCGTCCGGCGGGTGCGGGTGCGAGTGGATGCGAGTGGATGCGAGTGGATGGTGCCATGGACAGACCAAGCACGCTGGCCATGCGGGTGCAGCGCGTCATTGGCCCGCCGCCCGTGCAGCCTGTAAGGACTATAGTGCCTTCACATCACATACTACTACATACTACGCCTACTACGCCTACTTGCTACTACACACTCCTAGTATGTCTTCCATCTATCCAGTACTTCGACACACATGTATCCAGTACTTCACATACATACATACATACATACATACATACATACATACACACACGCCCGTCCTATCACCGCCCGACGCCCTCCCCCGGCCGCAGAGCCGTGTGTGTCCCACATTCTGAGACGAGGGCGGCCCATGTGCTGCAGCCCGGGCCTCTGACCCCCCCGTTCGGAGAATATGGGATGGTCTGGTAGGTGGCAGTGAATACCATCCTGTCTGAGTAGTAGTACTCCTAGCAGCTATAGCCTGCCTGGCTGCAATATACTCGACGCATGGCCTGGCCACCCGCCCGTCTCCTCTCCCACGGTCCACGTCAAAAAACCGTCTGCGTCCACCGCCCGCGGTGTGGCTTCAACGTCGACGCCCGGCTCGTCGCCTGTCTGCTTCCTGCCCAGCCGACTGGTGGCGTCGCCATCAACCACTGAGTGTGTGTACTTGTGTGTGCGAGTGTGCATGTGGGTGTGCCTCTGGCGACTCGCCGACCAGACGGTGCCAGGTGCCATCTGCCAACCGCCCCCGGGCCGAGAGTCGCCTTTGTGTGATGGACCGTCATGCCCGCGCGCACGGCCAAGGGGCATCACGCCCGCCCATACATACACTACTGTACTGTCTACTTACACTGGTCTGGTCTGGTCTGGTCTGGTTCGGAAGTCGGCGCTCGCTCGCTCGCTCGCTGCCTTGCCCGCGTCCACTTGCACTCAAGCTGCTGTTCCTGCGCGTACCTTGCAGCAAGGGGGCTTCAGTACCACTTGCGGAACCCAAAACTGGCCCTGGCGCCACCCTCCTACAACCCTTTGTGTTTCGCCCGCCCGTCATCGACTGACCAGTCTGAATCCGTCAGCCCGCCAGCCCGCCAGTCCGCCAGTCCGCCAATCCCGCCCTAGTCCTAGTCGTCCTAGTCCCGCCTACCCACGTCCTCGCGACCCTCCTCCGCCGCCGCCGCCTGGCTGGCCCAACCGACCAACCCAACTGGCCCAAAAGGAATCCACAGACCACGCTGCAAGCCCTACAACTACTCCCTCGTCGCTGCCCGCCAACCATCGCTCCCTCCGCCCAACTGCCCCTCTCCACCAAACTGCCCGCGCCTTTGTACTCTACTTACACACAAAGAAAAGAAACAACCGGCCCTCACCCTCGCACTCGCACTCATCCTCCTCTTCGTCCGCCATGACTCACCTGCCGATGAATGCGGCATCTCATGCGATGCGACACAACGTGAATCGCCCGGCCAAACAAGGCTAGGCCCACTGCAACCGCCCCCCCACCCCCCTCTCTCCTCCAACCTCCAACCCCAACTGCTCATTCGGCAAGGCTGGTCTGCTCACGCCAGGCTGGGTGCATGCGTCAGCTATTTCTACTCACCTACATATGTACGGACAGCACTCGACACGCCTGCGCTGCACTCTAGTCCCCACCCACATACAACGTCGAACCACCTCCTGCGTCTTTGGCTCTAGCCGAGTAACACTGCGCGCACACGGCATCAACTCTCAAAAGCGCACAGTAAGCAGAGCCGCAGAACTCCTACGCCACCAAAAGTCTAAACTACCCGCCCCGTCCTCAGCAACCAAGGTCTACGAGTACACTTGTCCCCCTACCTACTCACGCCCCTACACTAACGCATTTGTGATGACAATCTCACCCTCCCCCGTCGTCTTGTCCCATGACTGAAGTGTGACGCTCCCCATGTCCTGAACAATGTAGTCTGCCCCAGCTTCCACAATCTGTTCTAGCGTATGTGACGTGTGGAGACCCACCACCACGAACCCTGCCGCCTTGCCTGACCGAATTCCTGCCGGCGCATCCTCAAAGACAATGATAGAAGCCTCCTTTCTTTGCAGCTCCAGTTTCTCCGCTCCCATCTGGTAGCACGTGGGATCCGGCTTGCCGTTGAGTACGTCTTCCGCCGTCACCAGATTCTTGGGGTGTGCCAGTTTCATCACGTCTAGCCAACCCTGTACAAGCGGACGTGTGCCGGACGTCACAATGCACCACGGAACACCCTGTTCCTCCAGCTTGTCCAGCAAGGCACGCGATCCGGGAATCTCAACGGCATCATGCCCGAATTCCTTGGGTACCAGTCCCTCGGCATGGCAAATGTCTGTTTCGTTTAGTTGCAAACATCGCCAACATGGTCCACCCTGGCACACTCACACTCCCAATTAGCCAGCTTCGGCTCATAGATCTTGAGAACGTCGATAGATCTCCGCCCGTGTGAGGTTGCCAGAATCACCTCGGGCGCAACTCCAATCTCCTTGCCAATCCTGGGCAATGCACATGTCAGCCTAGACCTTACATCTGCTTTTTTTCCGTCGTAACCTACTTGTGCCAGTGTTTTTCGATTGCAATCGTCGAGTCGATAATCGTACCACTATCATGTGCTTAGCCACCATTGCTGACATCCCACAAACCCGGTCACCTACTCCATGTCAAAAAGCTGCTCAGTCAGTACCTGTCAACATGCCCTCAGTCGATGCTCGCACTCACCAAGCCATGGCACTTTATTGTCTGCGCCGGCGCCGAGAAGTTGGGCTTGGATGCACTCATCGTTGTGACCTTTGCAATCTCTTTTGCTGAGTCGAAAATGTTGCTGAATCTCAATTGACGGTGAAGGTAAACTACATACGTACGCTGTGAGACAACACCCTACTGGGTTAGCCACGTCGGGAATCCTATCCGATGTTTTTCCGATTATTATGCGGCCAATCACAATGACGACTCCGTGCGGTAACCTAGCTTACAAAAGACGCCGTTGTAATCAAGTAGATTTCTATGGCATTGCAGACAGGAAACTTATCCGATGTGCGAATCGAATAATCGTTTGTGTCTGATTTGTTTTTGAGTGTCTGCAATCATGTGACTACCAGGCAAGATGTCGGCAGTGGGGGAGTGGTGGAGCCGCGCTAAAAGGGCGGCAAAGGGCGGCAGTATTTTCACCTGGCGAACTTTTTTGGAAGATGTCGAAATTTCGACCTCAACATCTAAACACAAGCCCAACAATCTACAATGAAGGTCGGAAGTAAGACACGCACTGGGAGGCGTATATCGAACAAAACTGACGAAAACATCAGAGCCAAAATCAAAGCGCGTGCCCGTGCGCCTGCGCCACAAGATTGAAAAAGCGTCAGCGGCCAAGCAGAAGAAGGCAAGAAAGCTCGCAAAGAAGGTACGACACTTGCGCATCGCTACAGGGTTCATATAATTAATGCGCGCAGGATCCTACATGGAGAAGCAAGACCAAGAAGGAGCCTGGTATTCCCAATCTGTTCCCCTACAAAGACAAGATTTTGGCAGAGGCCGAGGAGCAGCGAAGGAACCGAGAAGAAGAAAATGCGCGCCGACGACAGCTAGCAAAAGAGCAGAAACTGAACGCCGCTTCTGCTGAAGATGCCATGGAGGACGACGAAGAGTTTGAGCAGTTTGATGCCGAAGGCGACGAGCTGCTCGCCGACGATAGCAGCGAGGATGAGGATTCGATGCAGGTGGTGCGTTTCCCCAGCTGTTCCGCGATGCGCCAGAACGCTAATGCATATCAGGACAACAAACTAAATCCCATGGCCGCCCTTCTGGCTTCTGCAAAAGCGCGCGCAGCTGAGTTTGAGAAAAATGGCAATGATGCAGACGCCATGGAAGATAGCGAGGAAGAAGACAATGATGATGATGAAAGCGGTGGGGCCAGGGTCCGCAAAGACGCATCAAGAAAGCAGTTTGACAAGGTCTACAAGCAAGTCGTTGACTCAGCAGACGTTGTCTTGTACGTCCTTGACGCCAGAGACCCAATGGGAACACGATCGAAAGAGGTGGAGCAGGCAGTCATGGCGGCAGACCGTTCGAGCAAGCGTCTGATATTCATCCTTAACAAGATTGACCTTGTCCCTCCGCCAGCCCTGAGAGCATGGCTCGTTCACCTCCGTCGCTCCTTCCCTACCCTTCCGCTGCGCGCATCCAAGCATGCGCCCAACGCAAAGACCTTTGAGCACAAGGACCTCACCATGAAAGGTACATCGGAGACTCTTTTCAAAGCCCTCAAGACTTTTGCAGAGTCACGGCAGCTCAAGCGCTCGGTCAAGGTTGGAATCATCGGATATCCCAATGTGGGAAAGTCTTCGGTGATCAACGCCTTGACGTCAAGATTAGGAGGAAGATCTGCTGGTTGCCCAACTGGTGCCGAGGCTGGAGTCACTACCAGCTTACGAGAGGTCAAGCTCGACAACAAGCTCAAGCTCCTAGACTCACCTGGTATTGTCTTCCCAAATACTGAAGGTTCCAAGGAGAGTAAAGTACAACAACAGGCACGACTTATTCTCCTGAACGCTGTCCCACCCAGGGAGATTGAAGACCCTATACCAGCTGTAACACTTTTGTTGAAGAGACTGTCATCTTCGGAAGAACTGTTTGCAAAACTCATGGAGGTTTACGATCTGCCCCCGCTGCACACTATAGGCAATGACAGGACGACCGACTTTTTGGTTCAGGTAGCAAGGAAACGGGGTCGACTAGGCAAAGGTGGAATACCCAACATGCATGCTGCAGCACAGACTGTCATCAATGACTGGAGAGATGGTCGTATTCAAGGATGGACAAGCCCGCCCAAGTACGTGCCTGCCGAGACTACAACGACAAAGACGGCTCCCGCCCAGAAGGGGGGTCTTGTTGGTGACCAGAAGGAGATTGTCAAGGAATGGGCTGCCGAATTCAAGCTCGAAGGTCTTTGGGGCGACGACTCCAACGACACTGCAGCACCAGAGGCCATGGAAATGTAAGCATGTTACGATGAGAGTCGACTGGCGAATTGGCGTTTGTATTTCACTGCAGTACTGGCTTTTCCCTAAGAAGAGGAATCAGGTCTCGACTAGATATCACAATCACATCATGATAGCCACTTTACAACCGTGTAGCCTCCGATTGACGAAAACCTTGCCCAATCATCCACTTGCTTCTGGGCCGCTACTGACCGAACCAAAGTGCGACATCGGCCACCAAACTGACAAAAAGCTCATTTGGTGCTGTAGCTCCACGCCGATTGTGGTGCGCAAGACATGTTCGCTACCACAGCGGCGATCGTTTGCCCCACACTAGGTATCGGCTTTCGTCGGCTCAGCCCCAGAGCTCATTCGATTCGAGCTTCACAGCTTGGGATACATAACGAGAAGCCCCAAACTTTTTGGCTAATTGACATTCCAAATCATTTATCATGGGTTCTTCAAAGGGTCTCCAGCCTCTTCGCTCTGCTACCAAGACATTGAACGCACTGCCCGCAGCTTATGCTGGTGCGCAGGTTGCTTCACGACGATATGCGGGGACGCTTGCAAACTTCAAGATTCCCACTGTGAACAACGAGCCAAACGTAAGTTGAAGATATTGTGAAGTCTATGAAGGATGTTTGTTAACTAAGAATTCTAGCAACACTACGCCAAAGGCTCAGTCGACCGACAGAAGCTTCAGGATGCGGTTGCACGCATGAAGAAGCAGGGCCCTGTAGAGGTTCCTCTTGCTGTAGGAGGAGAATACGTAAGATTGGGAATACTGACTTGGTAGTTTCATCTCATTGACAGCTTCCAGATCAAAACCTCGTCCATCCTCACTCAGAACAACCCCTCCTCCCACGCCGACGTCATTGCCAAGTACTCCAATGCCAGCCCAGCGGACGTCAAGAAGGCCATCGATGCCGCATTGGCAGCGAAGCCAGCATGGGAAGCGCTCCCCTTTGCCGATCGCGCTTCAGTATTTCTCAAGGCAGCAGATCTCATTTCCACAAAGTACCGATATGAGATCATGGCAGCGACAATGGTGGGACAGGGAAAGAATGCATGGCAAGCCGAGATTGATGCAGCAGCGGAGCTGTGTGACTTTCTCAGGTTCAATGTCAAGTACGCGGAAGATACATATGGCCACCAGCCAGTCCACAACTCTCCCGGTGTATGGAAGTACGTGCAGTCGCTGTTTACAGTTGAAAGGCAAAGCTAACTGAAATAGCCGTGTTGAATACCGACCCCTCGAAGGCTTCGTCTACGCCGTATCCCCTTTCAACTTCACAGCCATTGGCGGTAATCTCCCCGCGGCTCCAGCGCTGATGGGCAACGTCGTCGTGTGGAAGCCATCGCCATCTGCCATTGCCTCCAACTGGCTTCTCTACCAGATTCTGATCGAGGCTGGCCTTCCACCAAATGTCATCCAGTGGGTCCCTGGTGATGCTGTAAAAGTCACACAGGAGGTTCTCTCTCACAGGCAATTCGCATCCCTGCATTATACTGGCAGCACAGCAGTCTTCCGCCAGCTGTACGGAAAGATTGCCAACGGCGTTGCCGAGGGCAAGTACCAGAGCTACCCCAGGATTGTCGGCGAGACTGGCGGCAAGAACTTCCATCTCATCCACAAGGACGCCGACATCCACAACGCCGCCATCCAAACCGTCCGCGGCGCATTCGAGTACCAAGGCCAGAAATGTAGCGCCTGCTCGCGCCTCTACGTCCCTGAGTCTGCATGGCCTGAATTCAAAGAAATTCTCACAAAAGAAGTCTCCGCCCTCAAAATCGGCGAACCCTCCGACTTCTCCAACTTCATCGGCCCCGTCATCCATGAAGCCTCGTTCAAGAAACTCTCGGGCGTAATCGACGACGCCAAAACCGACCCAGAGCTCGAACTCGTCGTCGGCGGCAAATACGATAGCTCAAAGGGCTACTACATCCACCCCACCGTCTACCTAACCAAAAACCCAAACCACCCCCTCCTCTCCCGCGAACTCTTCGGCCCCATCCTCGTCGCCTACGCCTACGACGACGCCGCCCCAGACGCCTTTGCCAACATCATCCGCCAAATCGACGAAACATCCGAGTACGCTCTTACGGGTGCTGTCTTCGCAAAGGACCGTGAGACAATCAAGTTTGCATCCGATAAGCTGAGGAATGCGGCGGGTAACTTTTATATTAACTGCAAGTGTACGGGTGCGGTGGTGGGCCAGCAGCCGTTTGGCGGGTCGAGGGCGAGCGGCACGAATGACAAGGCCGGAAGTGCGAATTTACTGGCGCGCTTTGTGAATGTGAGGGCGGTTAAGGAGGAGTTTTTGCCGACGGAGAAGGTGGAGTATCCTAGTAACGAGGTTTAGAGAGTGTAGCGGTAAGTAAGGAAGGAAGGGAAAAGCTCGGGTTGAAGGGGTCTTTTTTTTCTCTTCTTCTTCTATTTGAGCGTTGGCATGAACATGAATATTTGGGTATGAATATACGACTCTGGGAAGGATCATAAACGTTTTCTCGGTAAAGAACAGTTTGGGAAATCTGGATTAGCCGTCCTTTCACTTGAATCACAATGTGCATAATTCTATTTAAAAAATTTGAAGTAAATATCAACAACGACAACTCTCTCTAACCTTACCATTTCTTTATATATTTTCCACAGATTCGATGCTAATTACCACAACCCCCCCCCCCCCCCCCCCCCCCCCC